TGTTTTCTGGGTCAGCAACGAGTTTAACATCGAATCCTTTTCGATACCTTGCCCAATCACCAACTTCGAAAAGTTTAGAGGCACATTGGCTGCATGATTTACAGCGGAAATTTTGACATCGCTATGTTTTGGTGTCTGGCACACGAAACTTTGAAATTTGGGTACTATTACTAAACAAAAGATTCATGCATAAATCCGGTTAAATTCCAATAAATGTACTCAAACGCCTCAAATACTATAATATTTCCACTTTTTTACGGAAGTTGACGATCGAACGGCGGAAACGTTGCTTGAGAAAATGCAAGACTTCGTCGAACCCGACCCAATGATAAAATGCAAATTTTTGTACCCAAATTTGTTGTCAATAAGGGTAATAAAGTTTACTTTAGGAGTGTCTCTTGCTAACTTCCTTTCTTTTTCAAAAGTCCGTGGCTGCTTTCCGCTTAATAGCGCGCTCCAGCTATCGTACCCTCGCCGCCGTCAAGCAATGCGCGTATATAAGGCCATTTTACCCATTTTTTTTTCATTTTAATTGCGCGGAATGGGATTGTTTTATTTTGTAAATTTATTTTTTTTTGTTTTTCTAATTGTAAGGTTCTTTACTTATTTACTTATTTACGAAAAATGTGAAGATTAACGCAAAAGTCTATCAAAAAGAGATTCTCGAGAAAGCTGTGGTGCCGTGGAAGAGGAGCCATCCCAATTTCACCCTTCAACAAGATTGGGCGCCGGCACACAGAGTCAAAACAACAATTCGCTTTCTCGAAACCAAAATTGGCTCTTTTTTGACGAAGGATCAATGGCCTGCAAACAGCCCGGATCTCAATCCGTTCGACTTTTTGGTTTGGGGTTTTATGGAAGAACAATTGAGGAATAGGAAAATCAAGAATTTGCATGATTTACGTTGAGAATTGATCAAAATCTGGAACGACTTAGATGCAAATTTTCTCCGCCGCACCGTCGATTCTGTAAAGAAGCGAATTGAAGCCTGTATCACTTGGAGGCCACTTTGAAAATTTCTTGTAATTATTAAATGCTTTTGTTACAACTATTATATAAATAAATATTTTTGCATGTTCTTTGGGGCACGTAATTTTCAGCCACCCGGTATAAGCCCATTTTCCCTTTGTTCTAAATTTTTTTAATGTTATATGCTACCTATGTTTACCTATTTGATGAAAAAAATTGTTTTTGTTGTCTTGACTAAAATTTTCTTCTATTGTTACAATGTTTCTTCCCCGGTTATGATCTCGGAAAAAAAAACTCTTCAAAACAAAGTAAATCCATTCAAACATAAAACTTAACTTATATTTAGGTCGTTGCTTTTCTTTATAGATCTTTATAAGTTCTATAAACTGAAAACCGAATATCACTTGACTAAAAATAAGTAAAGAACATAAAGAACTAAAATACCAATTTTGTTTTCGAGAAAGCGAATTGTTGTTTTGGCTCTGTGGGCCGGCGCCCAATTTTTTTGAAGGGTCAAATTAGGATGGCTCCTCTTCCACGGCACCACAGCTTTCTCGAGGATCTCTTTTTGATAGACTTTTGCGTTAATCTTCATATTTTTAGTAAATAAGTAAATAAGTAAAGAATCTTACAATTAGAAAAACAAAAAAAAAATACATTTACAAAATAAAACAATCCCATTCCGCGCAATTAAAATGAAAAAAAAAAATGGGTAAAATGGTCTGATATACGCGCATTGCCTGACGGCGATGAGGGTACGGTAGCTGGAGCGCGCTATTAAACGAAGAGCAGTCACGAATATCTGAAAAAGAACGGAAGTCTTTTTGTAATCTGTCAATAAACATTTGGTTCAATCAAACTTTGTTTTTTCAATCGTCATGGACGATCTTATATATTTATTTGTTTATTTGTTACATCATTAATATCTAACTATCAGAATCGATGAAAGAAAAAGACTACACGAATCTTTTCCGAGATCACGAGACACACTACAACCAACTTGACATCACAGGAGAAGGCGCATTTGGAGTCATTCAAAAGATTTGTCATGTTCCGTGAGTTTTTATTGAAAAACTTTTAGAACTTCCATGAATTTTATAATCTCTAAAGTTATATTCAAATAGATTCAAGTAGATTCAAGTATAAGTTATTGGTTTGGCCGAGTAATGAGTCAATTTCAAACAGAAATACTTTTTCAATAAAGCCATCTAAATCAATCAAAATAGTTTCCATCTTTTTCAAGATCTTATTTTCTATTCAATACTCTCTAATAGTAGTGCACCCTGTGCGTCGCCTAAATTGCTCGAAATCTCAAAAACCGCTTATCAGAACCTATCGATGTGGGGTCGGAAAATGTAGCTGACGATGAGATCTTGTGGGGGATTTGAGTGTTGAGCCTTTGTGAAAACTTTGAACAAAGTTGGAAATGCGTTTAGCATTAACGGATTGCTCACCATTAAATCAACCAAAAATTTATTTTGAACACTGTCACATAGCCGTCAGTTGTTTTATTGATAATTTAGTATAAGTTAAAAGAACAACTAAATTATTATAGTCATTTGATAGCCCTGAATCTCCTCTTGAAAACGAGTACAAAATTACTGAGAACTTTCTACAAAATACCTAAGCTTTGTCTAAATTGGTCGAAATCTCGAGAACCGCTTATCAGAACCTATCGATGTGGGGTCGGAAAATGTAGCTGACGATGAGATCTTGTGGGAGATTAAAGTGTTGAGCTTCTCTGAAAACTTTGGAAGCCGTTAAATAGTCATCAACTCGGCTCGCTTGGGTGCACTACTATTAGAGAAAATACCGGTATATACTTTTCCTATGATCAGATGACCATATACTCTAAAGCTAGGCTTGAAGATGAGCACTTAGCAAACCTAAATAGCATTACATGCTGAATATGCGAATTTGGCAAATTTGCACTAATCGAAAAAAGAAATAGTTAATAAAGAAATAAGAAAGCATGTCAAATCAATGAAAGTGTTTTGAAATAAGGAATTTTTCTGTTGTCTCTTTTCGTGGTAAACACTGAGAGGCAACTAAAACTTTACGGCAAAATTTCCTTTCTTACGTATGACTCATTACTGATTGGCCAACCCAGTATATTGAAGTAGCAAAGAAGTCCCAAAAATCATCCAAATGAGCAACTTTTACCAGTCAAAGAAAAAAGTTTTTATCTTTTAAGAAAATCTACTAGAATTGAAATAAAAATGATCAGTAATTTTAATTTTAAAGCTTTTAAAAGCTTGTACTTTATTCAGTTTAACCATAAATCCTTCTTTTTTTGTACGGAAAACCAGCTAACTGAAAAAAAAACTGAACTTTTAAAACAAACTTTTAAGAAAACCTATTAAAACCTATTAAAATTTAACATGATTATCGAAAAGATTAACTTATAGCCTTTTAAAATGATTATCATTTAGCCCAGCTGTGACGAAAAGGAAAAAAAATTCCCAAAACAATGGCTTAATTTCTCAGAATCAATTGAACAAGAATCAAGCCGAAGAAAGGGAACGATTTCGAGAAGAGCACAAAATTCTGAAGAGATTATACCATCCGAATATCGTTAGCTATTTCGGCTTTTTCAACTATGGTGACGATGATTTTGGGATTGTGATGGAGTATTGCTCTCATGGGGATGCAAGGGATTTGAGACACAGTTAGTTGCATATTTGAGACACAGTTAGTTGCATATTTGAGACACAGTTAGTTGCATTGATCATAGATTCATGTTATAAGCGGCTTCATTTTTCAGAATATCCCCCTAGTTCGTTCGTCGTTGAGTTCGTCCTTTCGACTCTATTACTCTTTTTGGCCATTATTTGCCAACCTCTAATCTTTTTTAACGCTTATAACTCCACTTTGCCTTTGAAGATGCCGCTTGTTAATTTGAGACTTCTTTTTGTTTGAATTTCTACTGACAAGTGAGTACACCAAGTTAAGGTGCACTTTTTGACCGAGACCCAGACCATTCGATGCAGATTTTCACGCTGATTCCGAATGTGCTTTTCGTTTTTGCAAAATGGCTCTCTATAAAAAGTTACAAACTTTTAAAATTTGTAGCCAAAAAAATGAAATTTTGAAATTTTCCGAAATGGGATCCCCTCATAAGGCTTCTTCAGTGCCAGCTAAACGTGGACTGGCAGCATACCCCACACGAAACCATTTTTTTTCATTCTTTTGCTTGGGTTCAACTCCATCCTTTGTTTCTCTTTTTATTTTCATGTTTTAACACTTAATTTTGTTTTATTTTTATATTTCGGAAGGTATCATATTTGGAATTTTTTTATATTAAAGTTTATAAACAAAATGAAACATTTACAGCTCAACATTGATGATAAAAAGTGAAGTAACAAAACTAACGGAATCGGAATTGAAATTCTGCATAGAATGATCTAAGTCTCGATTCAAAAGCTCACCTTAACTTTGTCCACTTCCCTTGTGAGGAGGGATCGCCCCCCAGCAATTGCCTAGTCTAGGAAAAGGTCTCGAAGCTAGGTTCTGCACCTTACCCTACAAGTCATACTACTCTTTCCTTAGGGAAAGGTGTAGTTACTTTCACCTTACTTTCTTATTGTCCTTTTAAACATAAAGTTGCAACTGCTTGATTTATTCACTCAAATTCAGTCCGAGATCGTCCCCAGTTCGTCTTCTCGTTCGACACGATCATCTATTGGTCAATCCAATTATTCGATGCGTTGACCTATCTCCATTTTCATTCAATCATTCATCGAGACATCAAACCGAGCAAGTTAGTTAGAATAAAAACTACAGTAACTAATTTGCATAAAGCTCGATCAATATTGTAAACCATCCCTTTCAGCATTTTCGTCACAAAGCATTTCGTGATGAAGCTCGGCGATTTTGATACTTGTTCAAAGATGGTCGAAGAATGGCCATCATTGGGATCTCCGAGATATAAAAGTCCTGAGCAACGAATCGAGAATAGAGATGGGGAAATGAAAGATTCGGAGAAGTTGTTGAAAACGACATGGGTACACGAGAAGAATGATGTTTATGGGATGGGATTGGTCATCTACGAGTTGATTCAGAGAGAGTTTCGTGATAGTTTCAAGTATTTATTGAGCTTGGTTTGGTACATTAGGTACTTGATTGCTTGACTGAAGTTTACTGTCTGCATTTGAGGGTTGCAGTTACTAAAATGTCAAAAAGGTGCCCTTTAGAAAAGGATTTTTGCTTGCTAAACCTTGAATACTGTTACTTTTTCAGTTTTAGCGTACAAAAATCGGTTTCTAAAGTACACCATGGCTTTTTTTGATAATCTCAATTACTCTTTTCTTTTCGTTTAGAGTGACGAATTCCCAAGTCCCAATGTAAATTTTAAAGTATCAAATTAGTCAAATAGGTCAATTTGGTACAAAATAAGAGTATCATAAAGTAATCTCATCAAAACCATCCGATTTCCAGACGCTACTGCAACGATGAGGACGGAGAAACAGTCCATTGTGCAAGGGTGAAAGCAAAAATGCATTGTGCCGTTAAACCGTTTGTTGTCCCAAATTGTGACGATGAACAACTGAAATCGATAGTGGAAAAGTGATTGTTGCTTTTCATAAAACACATTCTCTTTAAATCAAGAAATGGCTTCAATAATCTCTTTCAGATGCATTCATCTTCTACGAAGTGAGCGCTACTTGGCGATCGAGGCCTTTAAAGCGCTGAAAGCTTTGCCAGTTTGTCGAGCTACTAAATTTCAATTTGAATTTTTATTTCAGCTCAACTCTCCCTATATTTCTGTGGATATGAACGTGCAAAAGGTTTATCTACCAAACGAATTTCATGTCTACGATTCAAAATATCAGCTGATTCGACCAAAAATCAAAGATGATGTGAAAGTAGGTGACGTTGTAAGTATGTGCTTGACTTTGTTATCCATAGTACTGACATTCATAGCTTTTCACTTAATTTCCCAAATATTCAGTCGGCTTTAAGTTTCTAAGTCGTATGTTCGGTACTACGACTCGTTGATTCAAAAACAAGCACCCCTTGTGTACGGACACGTTAGCCAGTAAACTCTTGTAAGCGAACAGCGGTGATCCGGGTTTACATTGAAACCATTCCCCTGTATTGATTGAGTCAATTACTTCGCTTAATAACCAATCCGTTTCAGTGTATATATTCTCTATTAGAGCGGCACCTCCTAATGCTAATTTTGACAGTTTAGAGATCCAACTTTTCCCGAAATTTTCTCCGAAAGTGCTTAAAATGATGCATATGGGTCCTAATTATAATTGAAAAGTGATGGCAGTAAAATTCAAATCGATCCCGAAAAAAATTTTGACTGAACATTTTTTGAGAAAAAATCATAAGGGGGGACCACAGGGATTGGGATTTGGGAGCGTCGGACATCCTTTTGTGCGTACTTTCAGAGGATACCCCCATCCCGGAAAGTTACATCATTTGGGATTTGAGAGGGTCGGACATCCGGGGGTAGAACCAAGGACGTTACTTTTTGTTTTAAATATGTTTTTCATATGTTTTAGACCAAAGGAAATCTAGTTAGAGTCGTCATTTAATCAAAAATCATTTTTTTCAATAATGTGGTATCCCCTTATGTGATTTTTTGGGGAAAATGGGCACCGAACATTAGAGGATTTACGGTATATTATGTCCGAATCCGACCAGGCGCCCGGATCAGATCCGGACGTCCGAATTCGGTCATTGATTGTCTTGTGGTCGGTTTTGGACATCCGAACCCGAACAGACTCAAGATAAATGCTAATTAATTAACTTTTAATGCGAATTGGCCAAAGTTACTAAAAATAATTATTAAAAGGGGTATTTCCTCTAATAGACTTTCCTCTTGTAAGTCACTTACACAATTGTTGCACCTTGGTTAGCCTTTATCAAAAACTGAGATCCGATTTGGTTCCGATTCACTTCCCATTCACTTCCGATTCGATTCCCATACGGTTCCCATTGGGTTCCCACTTAGCCCCTTTACCTCACGTCAGTTCCAACGCATAAGTGCGAGAAGGCAAAAATTTTATCATCCATTGTAAAAAAAGGCTAAAATGTTCCCAAATTTAGATAGCACCCGATCAACCAAAAACCACACTTGAGAACACGGTTGATTTCGATTTCTTCGGCGATCTCACTGTCGACATGGGTCTAAATTCTGCTGAAAACTCTCCAATTCCATCAAAACAACCAAAACCAATTCGAAAACTTTTCCTTGGAAATGATGATAAGAGGCCTTTATGTTTTTTGAAAGAATCTGATATCAGAGAAAGAGCCAACGAAGCAAAGGAGAAATATATGAAGAAACGCTCACTGTTGTCTCGTCAATGTTTGGACCAATTCAACGCAAAAATTCCTCAAATTTACAAAGAGAAACGATTGGAGCATATTCTCTTTCAGGGTTTCGATTTTCATCGAGGCGACTCTGTTGATGATCTCGTCGATGAAACGATCGAAAGTCTTTATCGAGAGCATCTTCATTGGTATTTCTATGCACAATTGCATAAACATTCGGTGAGACTGATACCGGAAAACCCGACAAAAGACGATTATGAAATGTGGGAGCGAAATGTTCGACGAAAAACGCAATAATTTATCAATTTCATACTCGTTTTTACAATAAATTTTTAGCTGAATATTTTGAGCTTTGTATGGCAATTGCATAATATTCATTCTACCATTAGTGTTTTTGTTCTAAAATCAAATTCTCTAAATTTTCTGATCTTTGCTAAACTAAACATTGGCTCACTTTACATCAAGCTTACACAGAGCTGAAGGCGCTTCGGAAAGTCGTCGACTGTGGCACGCAAGTAGGGGGAGATCTAATTGATCCCATGCTTTTTGAAGAGCCTTCTTCAAAGAACCAAAAGCTTCGTGCTGTTTTTTTTACAAGCGGAGGTTGAGTGGACGAGGCTTCGAAAAAGGTTTATATAAACTGGTTTGTGAAAAAATGGACAGACACTGCTCAGGATTGGTGTGACAAGAATTTTCCAGACTTTATCGGATTGAACGAATGGCTACCAATGTCGCCTGACCTAAATCCTCTCGACTACAGCGTCAGGGCGGTATTAGAAGCTAAGGCTTGTCAAAAACCGCACAAAGCTTTTGGTTCTTTGAAGAAGGCTCTTCAAAAAGCATGGGATCAATTAGATCTCCCCTACTTGCGTGCCACAGTCGACGACTTTCCGAAGCGCCTTCAGCTCTGTGTCAACGCGAAAGGAGGACATATCCAATAATTGTTGTTTTTCCATTACTTTACTACCTAATTTGTTAAAAATAAAAGTTCCATCACAAGTTTTATACCAAAAATTTTTTTTCAAGCTAGTTATAGGTATCAGTAATTGTGGAACACCCTGTAAAAAAGCTCGGCCTTCTCCCTCCAGCCACGATGCAATCGCTGACAATCTCTGCCAATTTGAATTTGAAATTTAGTTTTAGTTTTTCAGCTTTAAAGCTTACAAAAGCAAAGTAAATCTAGTGTTCAAAATAAAGAAAATTTATATTCTGCAAGGCTTTTTTCATTTCGTACAATAGATGAGTTAGTGTAGTCCGTCAGAGTGTTTCACTGGTGGGCTTCTTGCAGTTCGTTCCTAGGTTTATGCCTGAGACATTTTTTAAATGCATTTATTCTCATCAGCTTTAGAGTTTGACCAAATTTATTAATCAGAAGTGGTTTTGGCAACACAAAGTCCAGTGACCGCGATGCATGGAGCGGTGGTGGTTGGACAAGCCGAACAGGTTGTTCCGATTGGATAGAGTGGCTTGCCAGCGGTCTGCCAAAGTTTTCACCATTTTCACGCTTCTTTTACTCTTTTGCCCCAACTTATAACTTTTTCCAGGATTGGAGCTGAACTTGTTGAAATCTGGGATTCGTGCCTTCATCTTGGACATTTCGAAGAAAATTTGTTATCTGTTTATTTGAAAAACACAAAATTCATTGAGTATCGCTGATACCGTAGTTGTGAAAGATAAGATTTGCCACGTTGAGCATTTCATTGGCTATTCCCAGCTCCACTTCACGATCGACCAATTGGCACTCACATGGCTTCAACCAATATTTTTGACACGTCTCCACAGCACATTGTGAAAAGTGAGTAATTGAAAAGATTAATGGACGAAGGTTGAACCGCCAATCTTCTGGCGGTGAAGTCGTTGATTCCTGAACAAAGCAATCATTTATATAGGGTTTTCTTTCCTTACGATTCTAACGATTCACGTAAAAAGAAGTTATTGTTGTCAAAAGATGAGGTTAAAACAGTGCCTGATGTAATTGCTTTCTGGGATGTATCAGGTTCTGTAATTCTTCAAATTTTGATATAAAAATTGAGCTCTTATTGAGTTACCGGTATTATTGACATTTTTTCATACTTTTAGCTCATAACTTTGCAAATCAACGTTTAAAGTTTGCAAGTTTTGATCTAAAATTTGTCGCTATTTGCAAATCTAAAAGAATTTTGCTAACTCTCGCTCAAGAATGACCAAAAAAGTGTTCAAAATATGCACCCGGAAGCCTCAAAAGAACCGAAAATTTACACTTTTGTGAAAACTCAAAAATCGAATAGAATAACTGATCATTTTATAATACCATTAGACTAGTAGATCTTATGTTTAAAGAAAATTGTGTGAAAACGTTTTTGCCCACCTCAGATGGCTCAAAATGGTAGAAAAAATGAATAGCGGAGGCGAGTTCTCGGAGAAATTCCGCGAACTTTATATTTCCTTCTCGATTCTTCCACGTACAGTCACAAGGAAACTCGGGACCCTTCAAAATTGTCACCCATCTGCACCTAGATATCAAGTAAAGAATTTAAATCAAACAATTCAAAGAAACTAACCACATTGAGCAGGCGTAAAGACCCGGGCGTACCGACCCGGGCGCACCGGCCTCAAAGAGCTCATCGAACTCGGCCCATAAACCCTCCAACGACACTTTCCCATCGATCACGAATTCTTTCTGCAAATTAGAAGATATTTAAGCAATACATACAGTAAATACTTTGATAGAACGCCATTATCATTTGACACCCAAGCGCACACTGAAGCATAATGCAGCGCGGAGAATGGGACGTTCAAAGTTGCTGCCGAGAAGTGCCACATGATTTAACGGAAAACCAAGCTCCAAATCGTGTAGACACTTGCCGAAAATTGCTGGAAAATCCGCACGATGACCGCTTGATTCGCCGAATTCTGACTTGTGATGAAAAGTGGGTCTATTTTAGTAATCCGGACAAGCAAAGTTGGATCCGGTTCAATCCCGGGCAAGTAGCGGAACCGGTAGCACGAATTGATCGATTCTCAAGGAAGGCATTATTGTGCGTTTGGTGGAATTTCGAAGGCATTCTTCACTTTGAGCTGGTTCCAAATGGTCGGACCATCGACGCAGACCTCTATTGCGCCCAACTTGACCGGATGTATGCGGCGCTTAGTGAAAAATAATCCCGCTTCGGTCAATCGAAAGCGCATAGTCCTTCAGCAAGACAATGCAAAACCTCACACCGCCAGACAAACCAAAGAAAAGATCAAAAATCTCGACTCAATTGAACTTCTTCCACATCCAGCGTCCAGACCGGACCTTGCACCATCCGATTATCATCTTTTCCGCTCCATGGCACACTTCCTTCGCGGACGAGCCTTCAACAATCTGGGCGAAGTCCAAAAAAGGGTGCCGCGAGTTTTTCGCCTCTAAGAACAAGGAGTGGTACCGCCGCGGGATCGACCAACTTGCCGATAGATGGCTTCAAGTCATAAATTCGAATGGTCTTTATTTCGAAGCTTAAAGTTCGTTCATTGTTGTTTTATTTATGTTGAAAGTTTTAATTTAAAAAATAGAAAACTTTTGGTTCACCCTAATATTAATAAATTTCGCTAAATTCAACACTCGATTTTTCACCTTTTCTAAAGCGATTGAAGTAGAGAAGAGAATACAAATATAGAAGAAGTCCTTCATCCTCCAACAAATGCGTCAAAAATTTCTCCTTTATTTTATTGAGATTATTTGAAGATAGATTTTTGAAAAATTTAATAATTGATAGATACCAAAATGCTAATCGAAAATACAGTCATGGCCAAAAGTCTTTGCCCCTACCGAAATCAGCTTTAAAAACGCGAAAATTTTCAACTTTTCAACAAGCTTTAAACTTTAAAAATTGTTTCTAAAGTATTTTGTAGCATTTTTACTCTAGTTTCATATCCCATAACCAAAAGAAATAACAATTTATTTCAAGCAACAAACAACGACGTTAACAAAAGAAACCTCAAAACAGGTGGACAAAAGTCTTTACCCCTTTTCTTGCTGTTGTTTCGTCATTTTTTCACATAACAATGTTTATTATTTTTTAATTTTAGTCATGCCTGGGGCCTAAAAAATAATAAACATTGTTATGTGAAAAATGATGAAACAACAGCAAGAAAACAGCAAGAAAAGGGGCAAAGACTTTGTCCATGACTGTAGATGGATCTTCTCGGCTAAAATCAGCGATTATCCTGGAGTTTGATTTTAGGCTTTTGAAGCAATTTGAAAAATTTTTCTTTTCCACCAATTTTTTCTCTATATGTGTCTCTAAAAGTCGTAGAAAATCTCAAATCAGATTGCGAAATCTGACTCCTTTAAAAAGTTATGAGGTGGGGCAAAAAAGTAAAAGAAGCCGCAAAATCGGTGCTCGCGGATAAGATGAAAATAAACAACGATTTTCTCAAAAACCGAAAGCTGAGAAGGGAATCGTGTGAGAATTAAATGTCATTTTGCGAAAGTCACCGACAGTTTCGAACGAGTTTTGTCTGAAAGTTTCATTCCAGAATCAAAACGTTTTGTCTACGAAAAGAATGAGTCTTTATATTTGATTTCAATTTCAATTTCTCATGCATTTATTTCATTGAGAAAACACTTTGTTCGTGAAAATTTCATTGGCATGACATTAATATTTATTATTCATTATCAACTATTGCATAGCACCCAATCAGATGCCCAGTCCAATGCAATCTTTGCCGTAAGAGTAATTAGTTTATAAAAATTGAGACGTTCACCAATACAGCACACCCATTCAATCGAATCCTCTAGACACAATCCCTCACTAGAGTGAGTTTCGAGTATGTGAATGAAAATTGCACCCAAACGCGTCACAAGTGTGATCAAGTTGACCGCCTTCTCTCCCAAATGTCGATCACAATTTACAACCGGTGGTTGTTGAATATGAGAAATTTCATTGGCAACGTTCAAATGGGGATAAATTTCGAATTTCTCGTTGCTCTCGTTTAAAACCCATAGATTTACTATTGACATTACCAAGCCTTTCGTACAAGATACAACATCTAATGACCACAATTTATAGCTCAATTAGCCCCTTTACCTCACGTCAGTTCCAACGCATAAGTGCGAGAAGGCAAAAATTTTATCATCCATTGTAAAAAAAGGCTAAAATGTTCCCAAATTTAGATAGCACCCGATCAACCAAAAACCACACTTGAGAACACGGTTGATTTCGATTTCTTCGGCGATCTCACTGTCGACATGGGTCTAAATTCTGCTGAAAACTCTCCAATTCCATCAAAACAACCAAAACCAATTCGAAAACTTTTCCTTGGAAATGATGATAAGAGGCCTTTATGTTTTTTGAAAGAATCTGATATCAGAGAAAGAGCCAACGAAGCAAAGGAGAAATATATGAAGAAACGCTCACTGTTGTCTCGTCAATGTTTGGACCAATTCAACGCAAAAATTCCTCAAATTTACAAAGAGAAACGATTGGAGCATATTCTCTTTCAGGGTTTCGATTTTCATCGAGGCGACTCTGTTGATGATCTCGTCGATGAAACGATCGAAAGTCTTTATCGAGAGCATCTTCATTGGTATTTCTATGCACAATTGCATAAACATTCGGTGAGACTGATACCGGAAAACCCGACAAAAGACGATTATGAAATGTGGGAGCGAAATGTTCGACGAAAAACGCAATAATTTATCGCTTTCATACTCGTTTTTACAATAAATTGTCTTTTTATGGCAATTGCATAATATTCATATTCTACTATTTGTGTTTTTGTGTTAAGATCAAATTCTCTAATTTTTGTTTGATCTTTGCTAAACAATACCATTAACTCACTTTGTACTTTCCCTTTCAAATTCTTTATTTTTCAAAATAATTCAACAAACAAAATAACAAGAAACAAAAAAAAGCTATACATAAGAATTACCGTATTTTCTCTGATAGTAGTGCACCCTGATCGTCGTCTAAATTGCTCGAAATCTCAAAAACCGCTTATCAGAACCAATCAATGTGGCGTTGGAAAATGTAGCTGACGATGAGATCTAGAGGATTTAAGTGTTGACCTTCTGTGAAAGCTTGGAAACTGTAAAATAGTCACCAACTCGGCTCGCTCGGGTGCACTACTATTAGAGAAAATACGGTAGATTTTTTTTCTTCTTAACGTCGTGCAAACCTCTTATTCTTTTTCCATTTTTATTTGTTTTTCTAAAATTTAAAAAACTGTCCCAAACATTTGTAGTTATAAATTATCGTTTTTTGCTTAAAATCTTCACAATTTTTTAGGTCACACCCTACCCGAAGAGCACGATTGAGCCTCCTCTGACACTGGACAGTCAATTTGAATGAGTGTACTTTATGCTCGGGTAAATGCAAGCCTACTGGTTCACCAGCTTTGTCTTTTTCACAATAAATCAGTTTCTTTTTAGCTTAAATGTTGAAATGTAGACTTTGTAAAGAATATGGCAAAAAGTTTACGCTTACGGCTACAAAGTACAACCAAATTTCGACCAGATCACCAGATTTTTCCTTTTTTCTCCTTCATTTTTCTTTTCTTTTCTTTTTTTCAACGGGTTTTTTGTGTGAATATTTTGCTATAAATAAATCTTTCAAATTTTTATTTGTTTCTAATGATAATCAGGACACGGGGTGAGCTGTGTGTCGAAAGCGTTGTAGACAGAGTCCTGGAAATCCTCGATCTACACCTGTTCACTTTAAAATGCTTAAAAATATTAAGCTTATAAAAGAATTGAGCTCTAAGAGAACTAAATCTCTTAGAGCTGTTATTGTTATTGTTAGATGTTACATCTAACTGTTATTGTTAGATCAACTTCTTAGAACAAGTATCTCTATTTTCAACTCAAATAGTGGAAAGGAGTGGCATTTTGATTGGCCTTGAATTGACCTTGAATGAAAATGTTTCAAGTCTTTCAAAAGGCTCAATTCATCAAGACAATCTTTTTAAGAGCCTGCCTTCAAAATAGGCATTAGCAAAGAAGAACAAGAATCTGATAGAAAAGAGTTGAACAGTTTAAAGATTGATGGGCCTTGATTGGCCTTGATTAGCCTTGATTGGCCTTCAATGAAAATCTTTCAAGTCTTTGAAAAGTCTTATATCATCAATATAGTCTTTTTCAGAATTTCGCTTCAAACTAAGCATTAGTCTGTAATAGTTTTTATCTTTAAGGTCCTTTTTCCTCACCAATGCCACTTTCAAGATATTGCAGTAATAAGCTTATAAAAGAATTGAGTTCGGACAGTTATGAGAGCCAAAAAAAGCCTAGTACTGTCACTGTTAGATCAACTCCTTACAAGTATCTCTTTTTTGAACCCAAACGCAAGAACGCAGTGACATTTTGGCTCGGCTCGAAAGAAAATGTTTAAAATCTTCTCAAAAGGCTCAAATTCATCAATATAGTCTTTTTGAGAACGCTTTTATACATTTCAGACTACATTATTGATATACTAAACAATCAAATAATTTAGTGAATCTTATAGAAAAGAGGTGAACAGTTTAAAGATTGATTGAGCTTGATTGGCATTGAATAAAATATTCAAATAGTAGAACGGAGTGATATTTTGATTGGCCTTAAATTGGCATTGAATAAAATATTCCAAGTCTTTGAAAAGACTCAATTCATCAAGACAATCTTTTTAAGAACCTACCTTCAAAATAAGCATTAGCTTGAAATAGTTTTTAACTTTAAAATCTTCTTTCCTCACCAATGCCACCTTCAAGATATTACAGTAGAAAACGCCGGTATTGTAGTTGCAACCATTCGTGAAGACAACCGAATAACCTGAGATATATGTGTCATAGGCTCTAAAATCGATTTGACAAACGCAAATCTATGCTCACTAACTGGCAAACGGGGACTCCATTTGCGATATTTGTGTTTAAATCGTCTTCACATTTCTGAAAATTCTTTGTATTATTATTACAAGTCACTTTAGATTTAAATTGAAAAAATTTCCTTTCTTTACCTGCAATGTGCCTGCTTGTTTCTGTTGAACGGCTTTCAAGCAGTAGAACTCGGTGAGGAACACTGAAAAACGGGAATTGATATCATTCTTTTGCCTTTGCCAAGTAGAGAACCGTATTTGAGATTTAAGTTTGATTGTCTAAAGTTCTTCTGGTTTGCATTCTAATGTTCTTCTAATGTTCACAAAGGCCAGTGACCAGTGGAATAGGAACGAAGAGGAACAAGACAACGAGCAGCTGATGACGAACAGCTTCATCCTCTTTTGGTTTTATCTCTGCTCTAATTGAGCATCTTTTTATATGGCTATCAGGTGTTTAAGTTTAGAATAGAGCTTCTAAAACTGAAGATCCGAAAACTGACAAAAGTCCTATTTTTAAATCAGAAAACTAGCAAGTTTGAAGTGTTTTTTTTGAGTGATTTTAAAAATAGAGCCCAAAGAGTTTCAGCGCTCAAAACTAACTACTCATTCTTTCTAAAATTAACTGCTAGCAATCAGATGATCAAAGATTTAGGCGCGCTTTCACCACACAACTTAATACCGTGTATTTAAACAGTCTGAGTGTGCTTTGAATCTTTGACTTCTGAAATAATCTTTATTTAAACAGTCTGAGAAGTACAAAGTCATAAAAGTCCTACAAGAAACTTCAAACAGATTATTGGGCAGTTGCAACAATGATCTGCCGTTCATATCCATTACAACAAGTTCGTTCAATCATCAGTAGACTTAGGCTCTTCACGCGGAAATACTCAACACCGGTGGCCTTCCGCTCCGAGACAGAAAACAAGAAACGACTGCTCATGATCTTCTCTTCGATTGCCTGAAAAATTATGTAAATAAACTCTTGAGTTTTAAGATTTTATCTTGGTTTTACATTTTTCAAGCAAATTTCGATCAATGAAACGAATTCGAGGAAAGGAAAAAACTGAACTGAATTCGTAAGATCGAATTTGCAATCATTCATAGCAGAAAGATCACTAAACACACCTGAAACGAGGACAGATTTCCTTTAATTGGAGGACTCTCGCCGTCCACTGACTCCAAATTGTTTAGTTTCTTTGAAACACCGCTCTTTGGATCGATCCACTCGGCGTCATAAACATTTTTGAGGAGATCCGTGAGACTTAAGTCGCCAATTACAGATTTGGCGACCGAAATTAACAAAATCGCTTCCTCGGACATGGGAATGAAATTCTCATCGTAAACTTTCTGAACAGCTTCCAGAAATTTCTCTTTCGAGTAGCATCGGAGTGTGTAAAACTGGGGATTCTTTATGGAAAGAGCCGCGAGTGGGAGAGAATCACTGAAATGAAGACACTTGGCTCGACTGAAAGCTTCCTTTGAGAGTATTTCTCTGTAATCTCTCTCCTCAAGAACAATCTCCTTGCTTATTTTTAATTCTTCTTCGACAGTTGGATGTAGAAAGTCCTTTAGAAGCTCTTTAGCGCCCATAGCTGCCTTAGAATCTCTTCCACAGACAATCAGCTTGGCCACTAGTTGAAGACTCGAGAGGAGTTGATTCTCTCTGAAGAGATATTCCATGAAGGAAATGTTCTCATCTTTCTTTGTTTCTATTGGAGAAAGCTTGACTCTTAGCAATTTGCATGTGGTGATTTTCGAGAGAACCGAGAAAAGAGACCAATCGACCACAAAATCGCTGCTTGATACATGATCATACCGATTTTTTTTCTTGTTTCGAATGTAGATCCGATTGGGGCCATGAAGCGATTCCAAAGGGAGCCAAGAAAGAGCGGGCCATGAAGGTTTGGCCCTTAAGCAGAGGGAATCTCCTAAACCAAAAGAAATTACTACATTACTGTATCGGTAATGATAATAGTTGATGTCAATCTCGATCTCGTGAATGCGTGAAGGTAGAATTCCTTTTCTCAAATAGAATTGACGGGATAGTTTGTCGATTCGTAATGCGTTGCATGAGTCCGAGAAATGGACGGATCTCAGCACGGAATCTTGCAAAAGACTGGGCAGAAACGGATAGGGAAACAGTGGCATTGGAAGTGATCAAAGGAAATGATGGAAGATAGCTTAATAGAATATGTGAAAAGGGTTTGCCTGTTGTTCGTGAACCCAGGTCGATCGATTCCGGGATGGGTGATCTCTCTCTCTCTCTCTCTCTCTATCTTTCTCTTGGTGATCACTCTATTACATGCCAATTCATTTGCCGACCATCTGCCATATTTCCTCGTCATTTCTTGATCACTGTGTGTGAGAGAGTTAAAATCAAAAAATAGTTTAACCTGGTTAACAAAAAACTGAAGGGAAATCAAGAAATCGTTTTGTTATCCAGGTTCTAAAACACTAAAATATTCGATTCGGTGCCAAATAAGTTTTATTGAGGTTTTTTTGTTATCCAGCTCCTTTTTTTAACAAGATTTCACTTCTAAAATTTTTACTTAATAGTCTCATCTTGCATCAGTCATGGTCTTTGGGGGGTATCACTGCCACAGGCAAGACTCAGCTGGTCTTTGTTCCACAGGGTGTCAAGGTTAATGCCGACAATTCTCTGGATGTTCTAAAAGCAGATGTTCTTCCTTGGGCAAATCAACATTTTGGAAACCGGTTGTGGACATTTCAACAGGACGGTGCGCCGGCACACAAGGCCAAAAAAGTGCAAGACATTTGCCGGCAAAATTTTCCAGATTTTATCTCATTCAATGAGTGGCCGCCAAATAGTCCGAATCTTAATCCGATGGATTTTTCTGTTTGGAGTGTCCTTGAAGCCAAAGCATGTTCAAAACCACACCAAAACTGTTGATAGTTTGAAAAAAACGCTCGAAAAGGCTTGAAAAGAGCTGGATCCTGCACCTCGCACCGCACTTCCTCGTTTTTCTATACAAAGACAGAGTTTTTTATATGTAACGGTAATTTTGGCCCACCCTGTATAATAGGTGTACAATAGTTTTTTTAATACTGGAAACGTGACGAAACGTAACGGAATAAAAGATTTTTATTGGTTTGTGAGCACCCATCTAGTACAAGCTTGTTAGTAAATTACTTTTGAGCAAGCAAAACTGATTTATTGTTAAACTTCTGATCGAACCCCCCTTCAGAGGAGAAAATAAGAAGTGCACTCTTAGTATTTTGTAATAGGGAGGGAGAAAAATAGAACGAAAAAGTTGCTAGTAGAAATTTGACGGTGATTTAGTCGCGGGAGAAGCTTATGAACAGTTGGAAAAGGTGAATGAATCCCTAAAGAAGAATAGGCCCTTCAAGTCAAAGATCATTCTCCTCCACGACAACGCGTACCCTCATGTTGCAAAACTGACTCGCTCTAAAATAAATAGCCTTGTTTGGAAACTTTTGTCGCATCCCCATACAGTCCAGACCTCGCCCGTTTTGATTACTATTTATTTCGGATCATGAGTAATGAGCTTGCGGGAGAACACTTCGATTCGGAAGAAGCAGTCAAAAATTGGCTTCGAAAGTTGTTCGATTCAAAACCAAAATCCTACCACGAAAGAGGAATCTGCAAATTGCCTGTAAAATGGGCAGAAGTCGGCAATAATAATGGAAATTATTTAGAACGAATTTATGGTTTTATGTTGAATAAATTTTCGTTCAAAGTCTCGCAGTTTTCAAGTCACCAACTTAATATCTATGCAAAAAAAGAGCCAAGAAACCGCGCTCGAAATTGCAAAAAAAACATGCTAAGTAGTGACACGTCATTATTAAGTTCCTAACCTAATAATCAGAAAGGGGCAAGGTCTGGGCTGTATGGGGGATGTGAAAGAACTTCTCAGCCAAGGGTGTTCATTTTAGAGCCAGTCCGTTTTGCAACATTGGCACGGGCGCTGTCGTGGAGAAGGATAATTTTTGTCTTTGAGGGCCTGCTCTTCCTTAAAGCTCTTCCTAACCTTTTTTAATTGTTCACTGTATTGAGGGCATTAAGAGATTTCTTGAGATTAAGAGATCCAGAAGAAGATTAAGAGATCCAACAACTCCCAGAATATCGGTCTCTCCATATCCCGGAAAAAACAGAGCATGAACTTCTTCTGGTGGAAATTAGGCTTGGGGTCACTTTCGGTCTTCTCGCCAGGTCCCACCATTGCCGCTTCCTTCGAAAGTTTACAAATCACATCTAATTCTCATCTATTTTTACTAAAATGAGAATATTTTGTTGTAAAATCGATAAACCAACATTTACAGTCAAACGAATTGAGGCACAGCATTGAAATATGGCTCTTTTCACTGATTTTCGCTTGAAAAAACTTCACTCTGATGGGAAAATTGCCTATATTTTTCGTAGTCAGACTTCAGTAATTCAAAGATCGAACTTTGAATGAGGAGCACAGAGAAAAGGAATCGTTATTGAATATATTGTGAATTCCTATTTGAACATTAGACCGTAGGGCTTAGTTAATTAAACTATGCATTGTCTCTAAATTGTAGTCTCTAAATTGATTTTTTGTACAGGGTGACCAAGAATTATCGCAACAAGATCGTATCATGTTATGAGCCTCATTTCACTTTTTGCTTACCTGTTTTTTATGGTTTTTGTGTATTTTTCTTATTTTATGGTATGATTACCTAACTTTCAATACATTAGTATGGTTGTTTTCAGGAATAGTGAAAGCCTCTCCACATCGACAATCGATCCTTGAGCTCAAGCGGCAGCGTGTTCAGGCGAGCGAGATCTCAAAGCGCCTGAATGTCCCCAGAAGCCTCGCTTCTCGAACCATTCAACGTTATGAAACTCTGGGCACAGTTTCTGATCGCCCTGGAAGAGCTGCAAAGCGAACAGCGGTTACTCCGGCTAATGTCAAAAAAAGTGCGCGATCGTCTAATTCTATCCTTTAACGCCCTGTCTGAATGCCGATGGAGGCAAATTTGAATTTAATTGTTAATTTGTTACTGCTATATGTTGAATAAAGATATTTAAGTTAACTTTTCGAGTTGGGTTGCATATTTGAGTAAAAGCCAGGCCTTTTGTGTGTTGCGGTAATTCTTGGTCACCCTGTACTTCGATAGTTAGAAATAGTTAGATTGGCAAAGACGAGCTAACCGAGAGCTGTAGAGGATAAACAACATGGAAATGATGCTAAGAGGCCTTTATGTTTTTTGAAAGAATTTGATATCACAAAAAGAGCCAATGAGGCAAAGGAAAAATATCTGAAGAAGCGCTCACTGTTGTCTCGCCAATGTTTGGACCAATTCAACGCAAAAATTCCTCAAATTTACAAAGATAAACGATTGGAGCATATTCTCTTTCAGGGTTTCGATTTTCATCGAGGCGACTCTGTTGATGATCTCGTCGATGAAACAATCGAAAGTCTTTATCGAGAGCATCTTCATTGGTATTTCTATGCACAATTGCATAAACATTCGGTGGGACTGATACCGGAAAACCCGACAAAAGACGATTATGAAATGTGGGAACGAAATGTTCGACGACAAACGCAATAATTTATCAATTTCATACTCGCTTTTTACGGTAAATTGTTAGCTGAATATTTTGAGCTTTTTATGGCAATTGCATAATATTCATTTTACCATTAGTGTTTTTGTTCTAAAATCAAATTCTCTAAATTTTCTGATCTTTGCTAAACTAAACATTGACTCACTTTACATCAAGCTGACAATGAGACTGAGCGGAGGTTGAGTGGACGAGGTTTCGAAGCTTTCGAAGGACGGAGGTTTCGAAAAAGGTTTATATAAACCGGTTTGTGATAAACGGACAGACACTGCTCAGGGTTGGTGTGACAAGAATTTTCCAGACTTTATCGTGATCAACGAATGGTCACCAATGTCGCCTGACCTAAATCCTCCCGACTACAGCGTCTGGGCCGTATTAGAAGCTAAGGCTTGTCAAAAACCCCCAAAGCTCTTGATTCTTTGAAGAAGGCTCTTCAAAAAGCATGGGATGAATTGGGTCTCCCCTACTTGCGTGCCACGGCCGACGACTTTCCGAAGCGCCTTTAGCTCTGTGTCAACGCGAAAGGAGGACATATCCATATATTCATATAATTGTTATTTTTTCACTACTTTACCATCTAATTTGTTAAAAATAAAAGTTTCATAACAATTTTATACTAAAAAAAGGTTTTTTCAAGCTAGTTATCCGGTATCAGTAATTGTGGAAAACCCTGTAGAAAAGCTCGGCCTTCTCCCTCCAGCCACGATGCAATCGCTGACAATCTCTAACAATGAGTGAATTTGAAAAAGTTCTAGTCTTTCAGCTTTAAAGCTTACAAAAGCAAAGTAAGTGTACAAAATACAGAAAACTTATATTCTGCAAGGTTTTTTTCATTTGTACAGTAGATGAGTTAGTGTAGTCAGGTAAGAGTGTTGCACTGGTGGGCTTCTTGCTGTTCGTTCCTGGGTTTATGCCTGAGACATTTTTTTAAATGCATTTATTCTCATCAGCTTTAGAGTTTGACCAATTTTATTAACCAGAAGTGGTTTTGACAACACAAAGTCCAGTGACCGCGATGCATGGAGCGGTGGTGGTTGGACAAGCCGAACAGGTTGTTCCGATTGGATAGAGTGGCTTGCCGGCGGTCTGCCAAAGTTTTCACCATTTTCACGCTTCTTTTACTTTTTTGCCCCACCTCATAACTTTTTCCAGGATTGGAGCTGAACTTGTTGAAATCTGGGATTCATGTCTTCATCTTGGACATTTCGAAGGACAAATTTGTTATCTGTTTATTTGAAAAACACAAGATTCATTGAGTATCGCTGATACCGTAGTAGTGAAAGATAAGCTTTGCCACGCTGAGCATTTCATTGGCTATTCCCAGCTCCACTTCACGATCGACTAATTGACACTCACATGGCTTCAACCAATATTTTTGACACGTCTCCATAGCACATTGTGAAAAGTGAGTAATTGAAAAGATTAATGGACGAAGGTTGAATCGCCAATCTTCTGGCGGTGAAGTCGATGATTCCTGAACAAAGCAATCATTTATATAGGGTTTTTTTTACGATTCTAAAGATTCACGTAAAAAGAAGTTATTGTTGTCAAACGACGTTGAAACAGTGCCTGATGTAATTGCTTTCTGGGAAGTATCAGGTTCCGTAATTCTTCAAATTTGGATATCAAAATTCAGCTCTTATTGAGTTACCGGTATTATTGAGGTCTTTTCATACTTTTAGCTCATAACTTTGCAAATCAAAGTTTAAAGTTTGCAAGTTTTGATTTAAAATTTGTCGCTATTTGCAAATCTAAAAGAATTTTGCTGACTCTCACGCATGAATGACCAAAAAAGTGTTCAAAATATGTACCCGGAAGCCCCAAAAAAAACCGAAAATCTTCACTTTTGTGAAAACTCAAAAATCGAATAGAATAACTGATCATTTTATAATACTATTTAGACTAGTAGATCTTATGTTTAAAGAAAATTGTGTGAAAACGTTTTTGCCCACCTCAAATGGCTCAAAATGGTAGAAAGAATGAATAGCGGAGGCGAGTTCTCGGAGAAATTTCGCGAACTTTATATTTCCTTCTCGATTCTTCCACGTACAGTCACAAGGGAACTTGGGACCCTTCAAAATTGTCACCCATCTGCACCTAGATATCAGGTAAAGAATTTAAATCCAACAATTCAAAGAAACTAACCATCCTGAGCAGGCGTAAAGACCCGGGCGTAACGACCCGGGCGCACCGGGCTCAAAGAGCTCTTCGAACTCGGCCCATAAACCCTCCAACGACACTTTCCCATCGATCACGAATTCTTTCTGCAAATTAGAAGATATCTAAGCAATACATACCGTAAATACTCTGATAGAACGCTATTATCATTTGGCACCCAAGCGCACACTCAAGCATAATGCAGCGCGGAGAATGGGATGTTCAACGTTAGACCAAGCGACTCTACACCCATCATTATGAGGGTGGCGTTCTATTAGAGTATTTACGGTATATTCAAAATCCTCTAATATTAGGGTGAACCAAAAGTTTTCTATTTTTTTCTTTCTTCTCTTTTTTTACTCTTTGAGTTTGAACAATTTTTTAAAGCTAATAAATTCGTTTTATATATATGTGCCATATTTATTTTGTAGCATTTGATCTGCTCTTTCATATTTTACTAAGTTATCGTGTGTTTAACTATTTATTTTTCATTTTTTACTTAGTAGGAAAGAGATGGAAAAATTCAAAATTCGGGTACTTTTGCGCCATTATTGGAAACAAGGGTTCAATGCAACTGAAGCGGCCAAAAAAATATCCCAAGTGGAAGGTGAAGGAATGATCTCCGATAATACTGCGCCATATTGGTATCGAAAATTTAAGAACGGCGAACTTGGTCTCGACGATCAGCCACGTTTGGGTCGGGCAACTACTGTGGACTCTGAGGCTCTACGCAACGCTGTTGAAGCCAATCCATCAACCAACACTCGCAGGTTCTTCGCTGAACTGGATATTCCTCAAACATCAGTTATCCGGCACCTTCATGCCCTGGAAAGATCAACAAAAGCTGCCGAGAAGTGCCACATGATTTAACGGAAAATCAAGCTCAAAATAGTGTAGACACTTGCCGAAAACTGCTGGAAAATCCGCACTGGAAAATCATGATCGCTTTATTCGCCGAATTGTGACTTGTGATGGAAAGTGGGTCTATTTTAGTAATCTGGACAAGCAAAGTGAGTGGTTGAATCCCGGGCAAGTAGCGGAACCGGTAGCACGATTTGATCGATTCTCAAGGAAGGCATTATTCACTTTGAGCTGGTTCCAAATTGTCGGACCATCGACGCAGACCTCTACTGCGCCCAACTTGACCGGATGTATGCGGCGCTTAGTGAAAAATATCCCGCTTCAGTCAATCGAAAGCGCACAGTCCTTCAGCAAAAAAATGCAAAACCTCACACCGCCAGACAAACCAAAGAAAAGATCAAAATCTCGACTCAATTGAACTTCTTCCACATCCGGCGTACAGTCCGGACCTTGCACCATCCGATTATCATCTTTTCCGCTCCATAGCACACTTCTTTTGCGGACGAGCCTTCAACAATCTGGGCAAAGTCGAAAAAGGGTGCCGCGAGTTTTTCGCCTCTAAGAACAAGGAGTGTGCGGGATCGCCCAACTTGCCGATAGATGGCTCCAAGTCATAGAGTCGAATGGTCTTTATTTCGAAGCTTAGAGTTCGTTTATTGTTGTTTTATTTATGTTGAAAGTTTTAATAAAAAAAATAGAAAACTTTTGGTTCACCCTAATATTAATCAATTTAAAGCTAAAGTCAACACTGGATTTTTCACCTTTTCTAAAGCGATTGAAGTAGAGAAGAGAATACAAATATAGAAGAAATCCTTCATCCTCCCACAAATGCGTCAAAAATTTCTCCTTTATTTTATTGAGATTATTTGAAGATAGATTTTTGAAAAATTTAACAATCGATAGTTACCAAAATGCTAATCGAAAATACAGTCATGGACAAAAGTCTTTGCCCCTACTGAAATTGGCTTTTAAAACGCGAACATTTTCAACTTTTTAACAAGCTTTAAACTTTAAAAATTGTTTCTAAAGTATTTTGTAGCACTTTTACTCTAGTTTCATATCCCATAACCAAAAGAAATAACAATTTATTTCAAGCAACAACCAACGACGTTAACAAAAAAACCTCAGAACAGGTGGACAAAAGTCTTTACCCCTTTTTTGCTGTTTTTTTGCTGTTGTTTCATCATTTTTCACATAAGACGGTGAACAAGCTTTGCAAGAAAGCAAAAACGGCTGCAACTCTTCACCGAGCATTTAAAACAGGTCGTTCACCGGTCATAACAAAAAGAGAAGACAAGGCTCGAATTTTGGCCCACAAAAAAGATCCAAATGTTAATGCTTCCGATGGAGTCACATTCATCAAGCAGCAATTTAACAAGGATATCAATCGAAAGACAGTGAGCAGACGTTTGATTCATGCAGGACTTATAACGAGACGGGCCGCCAAGAAGCCCCTGATGATCACCAAACACCGGAAGATCCGACTCGCAACTGCTCGCAGGTTGTTTGCCTTGCCAATGGTGGTAGAACTCGTCTACCCGGATGGTTTCAATCGATTGGAGTCTAGATCATATCTACTCCTCCCTACAGCCCGGATTTGAACGTTATCGAACATTTGTCGGCGTTTTTAAAGTCAAAATTGAAAGGAAACCCCTACAATGGCAGGATTGAGCTATGGTACTTCGTTCGACACGTCTGGACAAAGATCAAGAAATTATAAAGATCAAAGTATAAATATATTTCTTACACCACCTGTTTTGGGGTTTCTTTTGTTAACGTCGTTGTTTTTCGCTTCAAATAAATTGTTATTTCTTTTGGTTATGGGATATGAAACTAGAGTAAAAATGCTACAAAATACTTTAGAAACAATTTTTAAAGTTTAAAGCTTGTTAAAAGGTTGAAAAATTTCGCGTTTTTAAAGCTGATTTCGGTAGCGCAAAAACTTTTGTCCATGAGATCCATGTAGATGGATCTTCTCGGCTAAAATCAGCGATTATCCTGGAGTTTGATTTTAGGATTTTGAAGCAATTTGAAAAATTTTTCTTTTCCACCAATTTTGTCTCTATATGTGTCTCTAAAAGTCGCAGAAAATCTCAAATCAGATTGCGAAATATGACTCCTTTAAAAAGTTATGAGGTGGGGCAAAAAAGTAAAAGAAGCCGCAAAATCGGTGCTCGCGGATAAGATGAAAATAAACAAAGATTTTCTCAAAAACCGAAAGCTGAAAAGGGAATCGTATGAGAATTAAATGTCATTTTGCGAAAGTCACCGACAGTTTCGAACGAGTTTTGTCTGAAAGTTTCATTCCAGAATCAAAAAGTTTTGTCTACGAAAAGAATGACTCTCCTTTATATTTCATTTCAATTTCAATTTCTCATTCATTTATTTCATTGAGAAAACACTTTTTTTGGTGAAAATTTCATAGACATGACATTAATATTTATTATTCATGATGAACTATTTCCATAGCACCCAACCAGATGCCCAGTCCAATGCAATCTTTGCAGTAAGAGTAATTAGTTTATAAAAATTGAGACGTTGACCAATACAGCACACCCATTCAATCGAATCCTCTCGACTCAAGCCCTCACAATTCGACACAATCACAATCGACACCGCTTTTTCTCCCTAATGTCGATCACAATTCAATCACGTTTTCCAACCCCTCAATCTGGGCAGCCACAAAAACGTATTTGTAATACTACGGCAAAGGAGTGGAATTTTTGCCAGAATTTGCGTAGGCCCAACGACTCTGCCAGCAAAAGAAACGAAAGGCTTGGTAATGTCAATAGGATTCATACTCTATTTTACAATAAATTGTTGCCTTTTTATGGCAATTGCATAATATTCATATTCTACTATTTGTGTTTTTGTTTTAAAACCAAATTCCCTAAATTTTTGCTGAATGATCTTTGCTAAACAATACCATTGACTCACTTTGCACTTCCCCTTTCAAATTCTTTATTTTTCAAAATAATTCAACAAACAAAATAACAAGAAAGCAAAAAAAGCTATACATAAGAATTACCGGATTTTCTCTAATAGTAGTGCACCCTGTGCGTCGCCTAAATTGCTCGAAATCTCACAAAACGCTCATCAGAACCTATCGATGTGGGGTCGGAAAGTGTAGCTGACGATGAGATCTTGTGGGGGATTTGAGTGTTGAGCCTTTGTGAAAACTTTGAACAAAGTTGGAAATGCGTTTAGCGTTTAGCATTGACTGGTTGCTCACTGTTAAATCAACCAAAACTTTATTTTGAACACTTTCACATAGCCGTTAACTGTTTTATTGATAATTTAGTGTAAATTTTTAAAAAAAACAACGAAATTATTATAGTCATTTGATAGCCCTGAATCTCCTCTTGAAAACGAGTACAAAATTACTGAGAAATTTCTACAAAATACCTAAGCTTTGGCGAAATTGATCGAAATCTCAAAAACCGCTTATCAGAACCTATCGATGTGGGGTCGGAAAATGAAGCTGCCGATGAGATCTTGTAGGGGATTAAAGTGTTGAGCTTCTGGGAAAAATTGGAAACCGTGAAATAGTCACCAATTCGGCTCGCTTGGGTGCACTACTATTAGAGAAAATACGGTATATTTGTCATTCGACTCGACTCAATTCGATTTTTAAAAAAATGCCCATTTCCAGAACAAACTTTTGAAAGTTCTTTTTAACAAACATTTTTCTAGGCATTTTGTAGTAGAATATTGTGAAAATTCACTACACAATCGAAATTTCCAAACTTTTTTTGAAGATAAACCTATAAGGAATTTCTCAACTTTGACATCCATGTTATCCACATTACATCTTTGATCAGATTACTGAAACATTAGGGTAAGTTAAATGAAATTTAAATGGAAAACTTGACCAAAAAAAATTGATTGAAAGAAATTTCCAATTTGCACCTTCGATCTCGAATCCTATCTGGAAGAAATCCGATCAAAATTTTGGCCAAAAATCCAGCGAGGTGACATTGAACGGCAAGGTTTAACGGTTGTGAGTTTAATCTGAAGTCAATTTTTTTTGTTTGAAGCTTTTATTGAAGTATTTATAGTGTTCAGATACTTATTGAAGTTCACACAGTTAAATAAATTGCGTAAAAAGAACTGCGCAACTCGTTCTAAAGGAAAGCTCGTTTTTAAAACGTAAAAAGAACTAAAGAAAAGAATTCAATGAAGATGGCTTGCTAATCGGTGTTTTGGTATCGCTGTTGTAATTTCAGATAGCAAGACAGTAAAACTTTTTTATCAAAAACACTGGCTACTTGTAAGGTGTATTTTCAAAATAGTTAATCATCCTAGTTAATTGTCTTGTTCGGATTTCAGTAACGATAAACATATAATTGAAGTATTGTTCAGCTTGTTCGTTGTGCTGGTAAAATTCCAGTAGTCATACTTAAGGCTCAAGTCGCCAATTTACCCCAATTTCCACCAACACCAATATTTAGTCACCAAAGTCCCTATTATATCAGTGTTTGACCAGAGCACTGATATAATATAAGCACATTTGGGCTTAGAAACGGTTTTAGACTTACTCTTTCGTCTCCTCAACACTTTCATCTCCATAGAAATCCAATGCCGAGATTCCCTCATCTATCCGATCCATCAATTGTTTCCGAACACTCAATGGGGTGTCAAATGGGAGCTGAAAACAAGATTTAGATTTGAAAATCCTTTAACTTTGTTTTTTTCTTTAAATATTGCAAAAAAATCAAAATAATTTACAAAAAAGTCGATCAGATGAAGCATCTTCAACTTTAAATCGACGAAAAGATCGGTGAATCGTTGAAAGCGCTGGAAGACGAATTTCCACAATCGATTTCGCATTTTTTGACTGAAAAAAAGATTAGCTAAATTTTTTTTGAATATGAAAGGTGATTATTTGTATAAAACAATAGAAAGCACAAAATAGAAGTCAGAGAATTGGGTTTTATGAAAGAAAGTATGTAAGCTTTGATTAATTTTATATGTCGTAGCCGATTTTAACTCCGAACGGAAGAAGTGAATCGGATGAAAAAAATGTTTCGCTTCGATATGAGCAACCAGGAGTCGCGCTCTACATGACGGGAAAAAGAAAAGGAAACAAACACATGGAAAAGGTCCTCAGACGTGAGAAGCTTGTTGTTGATGTTGAAGAATTGTTGATGAACACACACAAAAAAAAAGAGGGAGACTTGGATATTATGTGGAATGCCGGGATATTATGTGGAATGGACTTTGCGTATATCATGGAATCTCTAAAGAGATCATCGAGATTTATTATTGTTTAGGATTATTGTTCGTTTAGAATAGTTGCTTTTGTTGGTTTTGCCTTAAATTCGTTGTTTCTTGTTTGATTTTTTTGGTTTCATTTCGATTCGTTAAATTTTTTTATAAAATTTCTGCTGAATTCAAATGAAAATCGTAAGTGAACTTGCATTTAAAAAAGAAAAAATTAGTATTGAGAGATTTAATTGAAAATCAGCTAGCCAAGAAAAATTTCCGTCAAACTCGGCTAGCCGATTTTGACTAGCCGATCAAAATCGGCTACGACATATATAAAAATCATTTATTACAGCTTTCTTTGATAAATGAAGGTCTTGATATAAAAAATGAAGCTGTATTCACTCAAGCAAGCAGAAACAAGAAGCTAGAAATGTTTTAGAAAGAAATTTACGCAAATTAACAAGCCACCTGCAGCAGAAGACTTCAGAAAAGAAATTAACAAGCCCATCGCTCCAACAAAAACCAATTATCAGTTTTTTCAATTGAAATCTCTGATTAACCTCTGATTAAGAGCAATCAAATGATCTAGTGATCGAAAAAATCGATAATCAAGCCATTTCCCGTTTCCCATTCAAATGCCATCGGCAAGCCCACCAGCTGTGATCTTTTTGCCTTTTTGTGAGTCGCAAAAAGGAATGATTGAATGGTTTAGAAATTCAAGAAAGAAAGAGAAATTCAAACGGGTTTCTGCATAAACGAAAGCTGATATCAAAATGTTTTTAAAAAAAACGATAAATGTCATCAAATCAACGTAATCTTTTTTGGGTCAGATTTTTGAATTTAAAACACCAAACCAATTCAAAAAAAAGGCAAAAATGCAAATGATTTTGTGGTTTGAATCCTTTGGCACTTTCAAATTCAATTCATTTCCAAATTTGTGACATTTAATTCACGATCACAATTCACAAAATATCCCACTCAACACAAATGCTCTGCCCAGCACTTTTTGGGTTCTTGCTTGTTTCATGATGCCGAGAAGCTCATCGGGCTGAGACTCTAAAGAAAGATCAGTTTTTTTTAACTCGCCAAAAGTAAAGTGTTTAGCTTAAAGCTTAAATAATCGTGGCCTATTCTCACTGAAAATTTTTTCCGAGAAAATTCATTGATTTTATGCTTATTTGGTAGATTTATTGCTAGAAATGCTCCAAATCTTTGTTTTACTTTAAAGTTTTCCCTTTTCAATGTATACAGGGTGGGCTAAAATTACCGTTACATATAAAAAAAGTCTCTGTATAAAAAGCAACTCAAAAGGTCAAAGATTTTTCTTAAAAATAACTTTTATTGTCTCAGAAAAATTCATAAAAAACTATTCCTTTTCAAACAGATCTCCAATAGCTTTTACACAGGCCTCCAAACGTCGTAGAAAAGCGTCAATCGTGGCGAGAAGGTAATTACATCGGGCACTGTTTCAACCTCATCGTTTGACAACAATAACTTCTTTTTACGTGAATCGTTAGAATCGTAAGAAAAAAAAAACCCTATATAAATGATTGCTTTGTTCAGGAATCATCGACTTTACCGTCAGAAGATTGGCGGATCAACCTTCGTCCATTAATCTTTTCAATTACTCACTTTTCACAATGTGCTCTGGAGTCGTGTCAAGAATATTGGTTGAGGCCATGTGAGTGCCAATTGGTCGATCGTGAAGTGGAGTTGGGAATAGCCAATGAAATGCTCAGCGTGGCAAAGCTTATCTTTCGCCACTACGGTATCAGCGATACCCAATGAATTCTGTGTTTTTCAAATAAACAGATAATAAATTTTCTTCGAAATGTCCAAGATGAAGACACGAATCCCAGATTTCAACAAGTTCAACTCCAATCCTGGAAAAAGTTATGAGGTGTGGCAAAAAAGTAAAAGAAGCGTGAAAATGGTGAAAGCTTGAAAATATGCGCAAATCGGTCGAATAAAGACTTCCACATGTACCTGATTCCGAGAAAAAGCGCATAGGGATCATGTGTGACAAGGCCTTGTGACAAAGTTCGTTAATGTTGCCAGATCAACGGGAGGCTCTTCTTGCTATATTGTTTGGCAGACCGCCGGCAAGCCACTGTATCCAATCGGAACAACCTGTTCGGCTTGTCCAACTACCACCGCTCCATGCATCGCGGTCACTGGACTTTTCGTTGCCAAAACCACTTCTGGTTGATAAAATTGGTTGGGTATGTCAAGCTATAGTACAGGCCTTTGAAGTTGGGTATGTCGGAAGTCGCCGGGAGTCGAACCCAGGGCGTGTGGGCGTGGGCAAGCGCGCTACTCACTGCGCCAAAGTTGAAAAGATAAAAATAGAAAATAGCGAAAATTTGCAGACGAAAATTAGAAACTGAGTTATTTTGACAATTGCTTTTTGTTTAGTTGTGTAGAGGTTTTCAACGGAAAACCTACTATATATAAAAGAGCAGTGTATGTCCGTTTTTCACAAACCAGTTTATATAAGCCTTTTTTGAGACCTCGTCCACTCAACCTCCGCTCAGTCTCATTGTCAACTTGATGTAAAGTGCTGCAAACTGTACACTTAAGGGGTACACATTGAAAGGATTTCAACATAATCAATCCACAAAAATTACTGTCGCTTTGGTCTGGTTGGTCTCAGCAATGGCATGGCCTTGTAGTGTATTTTCATATTGAAATTGAGCAGCACTCATAGCATTTCTAAGTTTTTTTGATTACTGTAGAACAAGAAGAGAAATTCCCTTCCAAATTAACGCCTTTCCCTTGAAATGCATCGCAAAATATTCAATTATTTTACGAGAAATTGTACAAACACATTGTAGCCTAAAAGTCGTACAGTTACACCTCGTATCGCTGAAAATCGTAAAATTGAAAACTTTACAGCTCCAAAAAACAAGTATACTTTCTTCACGAAATCACATCACTTGCTTAATTCAGAGTCGCCTTTTCAGCGATACTACAATCAGTGCATAAAATTGTTTAGCAGAGTTTCTAGGAATCATTTTCCCTTGGTCACTTTAAACTTTTAGCCTACAATCTGATTTCCAAAGTTTTCTAGGTAATGCAAAAAGTGAACCTTCTTTTGGTGTTCTTGGTTGGACCCATCTGGGCTCGTGAGAGATTTCACAAATTCAAAGATGATGGAGCCGATCCATCGGAGACTGCTGCCGCGACCCTTGTGGATGCTTTGCATGTAAGGAAACGTATGGATACTTTATAAAGACTTCCAAAGGCTTTAAATAATAATTATAGACTAAAAAAGCCTAATGACGTCGAAAACCGGATGAAAATCCGACAAAAACACCCTTTTTTGAGCTCTTAAAAATTTGAGTTTACTGTGGCTAGGGCACGAAAAAGAATTTTAGAGGGACATTGAAAAAATAGAAGGGCCGGCTCTTCTATTAGAATGTATTTACCAAAAACAACCTACCGTAAATACTGTAATTGAAGGGCACCCTGGAGGGGGTGGGGGAAAAAATAGAAGGGCATAGTCGTGTGTATGTGTATTAAGATAAGTTTAGAAAGCTAATTTTATGTTTTATAATATTAAAATTACTACTCGGTTAAGAATCTTCTTTTACACACCAGCGGCCCAAGAAGTTTTGCGATTTTCAAGTTTTATGCGATCTTCAGATCAATTAAAGTTTACGAAGTGTCTCGCTCAAAAACCGTTTTTAGGAACCGCTTCTGGAATGCTGGCCAAATGAAACAAAATTTTATTATAACCGTGCCATCGACAAGACCGGAAAAACAATCGCCGCAATACTAGGCACGTTTTCCAATCACTGGGCTCAATCTGGGCAGCCACAAAAAAGTTTTTGTAATACTACGAGAGAGGCGTGGAATTTTTGCGAGTTTTGCGTAAGCCCAACGACTTTGACAGCAAAAGAAACGAAAGACTTGGTAATGTTAATAGTAAATCTATGGGTTTTGGACGAGAGCAACGAGAAATTCGAAATTTATCCCCATTTGAACGTTATCAATGAAATTCCTCAGATTCAACAACCACCGGTTGTAAATTGTGATCGACATTTGGGAGAGAAGGCGGTCAACTTGGTCACACTTGTGACGCGTTTGGGTGGAATTTTCATGCACATACTCGAAGCTCACTCTAGTGAGGGCTTGTGTCGAAAGGATTCGATTGAATCGGTGTGCTGTATTGGTCAACGTCTCAATTTTTATAAACTAATTACTCTTACTGCAAAGATTGCATTGGACTGGGCATCTGGTTGGGTGATATGGAAATAGTTCATAATGAATAATAAATATTAATGTCATGTCAATGAAATTTTCACGAACAAAATGTTTTCTCAATGAAATAAATGAATGAGAAATTGAAATTGAAATGAAATATAAAGGAGAGTCATTCTTTTCGTAGACAAAACGTTTTGATTCTGGGATGAAACTTTCAGACAAAACTGTTTGAAACTGTCGGTGACTTTCACAAAACGACATTTAATTCTCACACAATTCTCTTTTCAGCTTTTGGTTTTTGAGAAAATCGTTGTTTATTTTCATCTTACCAGTTATCCGCGAGCACCGATTTCGCGACTTCTTTTACTTTAGAGACACATATAGAAACAAAATTGGTGGAAAAGAAAAATTTTTCAAATTGCTTCAAAAGCCTAAAACCAAACTCCAGGATAATCGCTGATTTTAGCCGAGAAGATCTATCTACAGTCATGGACAAAAGTCTCTGCCCCTTTTCTTGCTGTTTTCTTGCTGTTGTTTCATCATTTTTCACATAACAATGTTTATTATTTTTTAGGCCCCAGGCATGACTAAAATTAAAAAAATAATAAACATTGTTATGTTAAAAATGATAAAATAACAGCACGAAGACAGCAAGAAAAGGGGTAAAGACTTTTGTCCACCTGTTTTGAGGTTTATTTTGTTAACGTCGTTGTGTGTTGCTTGAAATAAAATGTTATTTCTTTTGGTTATGGGATATGAAACTAGAGTAAAAATGCTACAAAATACTTTAGAAACAATTTTTAAAGTTTAAAGCTTGTTAAAAAGTTGAAAAATTTCGCGTTTTTAAAGCTGATTTCGGTAGGGGTAAAGACTTTTGTCCATGACTGTATTTTCGATTAGCATTTTGGTAACTATCGATTGTTAAATTTTTCAAAAATCTATCTTCAAATAATCTCAATAAAATAAAGGAGAAATTTTTGAGGCATTTGTTAGAGGATGAAGATTCTCTTCTATATTTGTATTCTCTTCTCTACTTCAATCGCTTTAGAAAAGGTGAAAAATCGAGTGTTGACTTTAGCGAAATTTATTAATATTAGAGGATTTTGAACATACCGTAAATACTCTAATAGAACGCCACCCTCATAATGATGGGTGTAGAGTCGCTTGGTCTAACTTTGAACATCCCATTCTCCGCGCTGCCTTATGCTTCAGTGTGCGCTTGGGTGTCAAATGATAATGGCGTTCTATCAGAGTATTTACGGTATGTATTGCTTAGATATTTTCTAATTTGCAGAAAGAATTCGTGATCGATGGGAAAGTGTCGTTGGGGGGTCTATGGGCCGAGTTCGAAAGGCTCTTTGAGCCCGGTGTGCCCGGGATAGCTTGGTTAGTTTCTTTGAATTGTTTGATTTAAATTCTTTACTTGATATCTAGGTGCAGATTAGGGACAATTTCGAAGGGTCCCGGGTTCCCTTGTGACTGTGACTGGAAGAATCGAGAAGGAAATATAAAGTTCGCAAAATTTCTCCGAGAACTCGCCTCCGCTATTCATTCTTTCTACCATTTTGAGCCATTTGAGGTGGGCAAAAACGTTTCCACACAATTTTCTTTAAACATAAGATCTACTAGTCTAAATAGTATTATAAAATGATCAGTTATTCTATTCGATTTTTGAGTTTTCACAAAAGTGAAAATTTTCGGTTCTTTTTGGGGCTTCCGGGTACATATTTCGAACACTTTTTTGGTCATTCTTGTGTGAGAGTTAGCAAAATTCTTTTAGATTTGCAAATAGCGACACATTTTAAATAAAAACTTACAAACTTTAAACTTTGATTTGCAAAGTTATGAGCTAAAAGTAGGAAAAAATGTCAATAATACCGGTAACTCAATAAGAGCTGAATTTTTATATCAAAATTTGAAGAATTACAGAACCTGATACATCCCAGAAAGCAATTACATCAGGCACTGTTTCAACGTCGTTTGACAACAATAACTGCTTTTTACGTGAATCTTTAGAATCGTAAAAAAAACCCTATATAAATGATTGCTTTGTTCAGGAATCAACGACTTCACCGTCAGAAGATTGGCAGCTCAACCTTAGTCCATTAATCTTTTCAATTACTCACTTTTCACAATGTGCTATGGAGTCGTGTCAAAAATATTGGTTCAGGCCGTGTGAGTGCCAATTGGTCGATCGTGAAGTGGAGCTGAGAATAGCCAATGAAATGCTCAGCGTGGCAAATCTTATCTTTCACCACTACGGTATCAGCGATACTCAATGAATTTTGTGTTTTTCAAATAAACAGATAACAAATTTTCGAATAAAGGATTTCGGTTTCTGCTTTTCAATGCTGGATTTTCGGAAACCACATCGAAATGATCGAAATCTCGAATTCTCGGCTATCGATCGGGAAATTCACCATGCCGCTCTAACCTCAAAATTTAAGCAAAAAAACTCTTCAAAAACATCAAATCGTGTCGTTTTCTAAAAGTTGTCTGTTAAGATTGTCAGCGATTGCATCGTGGCTGGAGGGAGAAGGCCGAGCTTTTCTATTATCCGGCAAATTTCGAGAATTACTTGAAAATCTTGAAGCCGTCGATAAACTGGAAACCGCTCTACATTTTGGTATCTTTAAATCAATATTTCCATGCCTTAAAGCAAAAGTCGAGAGCTCTGTTGTGATGACTCTACACGATATAGAATTACTAACAATTATTCACATTTGCTTATAAATTTTGTGGAAAAACATTTGAGAGATTGCAAAACTATTAAGGTGGATGCTGGAACGAGGCTCAGTTTTCCATTTATAAAACACAAAATTAGCTTTCTAAACTTATCTTAATACACATACACATGACTATACGCTTTGCCCTTCTTCCACCAAGCAGGAAATATGAGCGAGGAAGGCTTGGAGAATCTATATTCTATATTTGGACAACTATGCACAAGAAACGATCAGATGAATCTTGTTCAGCTTTGTAGACAAAGCTGAACAAAGCTATTCATTTACATAAGTCGTAAGTTTATTGAAAAGCTTATAAAAGTGAAGAAACCCTAGATAACTTTAACTCAAAAAGTGACCGTTTCAAAACAACCGAGACGACACTCATACAAGCGCTACAATACGTTGTCGGCCATTGACCGAGTACCGTTTCAACGGCTGCGAGAAATAGCAGAGCAAATAAGCACTTCATTTTCGAAAAGAACCCTTCGAATTGTCTGACCTGTGGCTCTTCTTTGTATGCTATCGTATCAAAACAGCTTGTTGACAAAAAAAGTGACTTCAGCTATTCGAATTTGAGGAAACAAACAGTGTGTTTAAGGTAAAGCTTAAAAATTAAGTTATTTGAGTGAATAGAAAAATGAAATTGAGCAAATTTTCAACGTTTTATATGACTTTGTGTGTTTGAAGTGGATTTTGAAAACAAAATTTAAGAGTTTTTTTTAAGAGCCAGGTTCACTTTTCAAGATTCGGACCTTTTCAAGGCTCAAGATTTACGATAGCTTCATGTAGCTCTTTCATTCATGTATCTTTATGTAGCATGTCAAAATCTCTGTTTTACTTTAAAGTTTTCTTTCTTCAATATGTATTTGCTTGATCTGCGGGAAGATTTTCTATAAAATAATTTTTATTCCAAAGAAAGCTGTACAAAATGTGCAAAATCATTAAAAAAATGGTATAAATAGTCAACACGTATTGGGTCTACACGTCATACTGAAATTGAAAAACCGATGAAATAAAATAAAAACACAAAAAAAAGCAATAAATATACACCAGCAAATAAAAATAAAGCTATTTTTTTGGTTTTGCAAGTAAAAAAGAAAGCACGATCGCACAAGTGGCGGATAGATCGCGTTTAAGAGAGTAAATGGGCATATTTAGGGTTATAGCTTTTAAATTTTTTAGAAGTTTTTAAAAATTTTTTGTTTTTTTTATCATTGTAGTTCAGTTTTAGTCGACCTCTTCGATTGTGGGTCCTTGTCCTGATTGACCAGCACCTCCACGTGGACCTCCTGGTCCTCCACCAGGCATTCCACCAGGCATTCCACCAGCACCACCGGCTCCCTGAAAAGTGAATGCTTAGATTGTTGTTATTCTTTTTTTACTAAATTTATAGGCATTCAAGTAAATAGTTGGTTTTCATGCTTGATATTTAATTCAAAGCTATGCTAGTAAAATTGTTGACTTTGCTTTATACTTCCTGACAATTTGTTTTATTCCCTAGCCCTAGTTGTAAGTCTTTAGCTTTGTAATTTTGTAAAAATTTAAAAGCTATTGATACTCAGTCGATCAATCAAAAATCCAATTAGACTACATCACCTAGATCAAGACAAGTGACTGAAAAGCTGGGCTTGTTAAAGAAGTTAACTTAAAGATATCTTTTCAAGAAATCCTACCTGATACAATCGTGTGATGATCGGATTGCAGACTTGTTCCAGCTCTTTCTGCATATGCTCGAATTCATCCTTCTCGGCCGTCTGATTCGAGTCCAACCAACGAAGCACTTCTCCACATTTCGACTCGATCTTTTGCCGGTCCTCGTTGGACAATTTGCTCTTCAGCTGAAATAAACGAATGTTTTTCAAATCATTTAAAGTTTCTATTTCTCTATTTGTTTTCTCCACTCACTTGTTCATCTTCGATCGTTTGTTTCATGTTGAAAGCGTATGATTCCAATCCATTTTTGGCCGCGACTCGATCTCTCTGCTTCTCGTCGTCGGCTCGATATTTCTCGGCATCGTTCACCATTCGATCGATATCATCCTAAAAATTAATTAAGTTAAAAATAATTATATATAATATCTAAATGATAACAACACTTGTTTTAATGGCTTAAACCTGAGAATTTTTAACCCAAAAAAACGAGCTTTCCTTTATAACGAGTTACGACAACTTTTGGCTAGGAAACTTTGTACTAACATTATTTTGTTTTCATAATTTTCAAAAACTTTTAGCTTTAAGTATAAATATGGTTTTTTAAATTAACAACTTTACTTATAGTTTTCTTGAGCTAAAAACTTCCATTAACTTTCCACTTTCCCTTAACTTTTCATCAAGTTCTACTTCAATTTCTTCTTTTCCCATTCACTCACCTTACTCAATCGTCCCTTATCATTCGTGATGGTAATCTTGTTCGATTTTCCGGTTGATTTATCCTGTGCCGATACGTTGAGAATTCCATTTGCATCCACATCGAAGGACACCTCGATTTGGGGCACTCCACGTGGGGCTGGCGGAATGCCGGAGAGCTCGAATTTGCCCAACAAGTTGTTGTCTCTCGTCATCGCTCGTTCACCCTCATAGACCTAGAAAAGAATGGATTTAGAAACTTGTCTTAGAAACTTTGGGAATAAAAATCTTTTAAAAGTTTATGTCTATATAGCAAAAGCCTTTTACCTGAATGAGGACACCGGGTTGATTGTCGGCATAGGTGGTGAAGATTTGTGATGTTTTCGTGGGAATCGTCGTGTTTCTTTTGATCAACGAGGTCATCACCCCACCAGCTGTCTCGATTCCCAACGAGAGTGGAGTGACATCGACGAGAAGAAGGCTTTGGACTGTCTCGGATTTGTCTCCAGAGAGGATGGCTGCCTGAAACAGAGCATTGTTTTTATCAAAACGCAATCTATGATTAAACTTAAAGATTACTATATCGTAATTATTTACTTTATTAGTTCTTTTTACTTAAAAATTTCAATTTATAACCTTTTCCTCACCTGTACAGCGGCTCCATAGGCAACAGCTTCATCGGGGTTGATCGATCTGTTCAATTCCTTGCCCGAGAAGAAATCCGACAACAACTTTTGCACTTTCGGGATCCGAGTCGATCCACCAACAAGCACGATTTCGTGGATCTGAAAATATTGAATTAACTATGTTAAAGAGAGATTTTAGCTTACAATTAGGTGGCTGTATAAAACTGTACCTAACCCACAGTCTGTCAAATGCCCAAAACAAAAATTACAAAAGTAAAAACTGATTTTTGACCTAACAACTGATCTAACATGTACTTTGACAGAAAGAGTTTTTAGCTTACTGGAAACCTCTTAAAAACAAGAATAGTATTTCGAATTTAAACGAATTTTTGAGTTTAAAAGCTGTGATTGCTTAAAGCTTGTACCTTTGACTTGTCCATGTTAGCATCACGTAGCGCTTTCTCCACCGGGTCCATCGTCGATCTGAAGAGATCAGCACAAAGCTCCTCGAATCGAGCCCTTGTGATATTCGTGTAGAAGTCGATGCCCTCGAAGAGTGAATCAATCTCGATCGAGGCCTGAAAATTAGAAGTTAAAAGTTGTTTTTTGCTTTACAAAACTTTACAAACAAGTAAATGTAACAAGTAATTTGATAATTAACCTGTGACGACGAGGAAAGCGTCCTCTTTGCCCTCTCACAAGCCGTTCTCAATCTCCTCAAAGCACGGGGATTCGACGAGAGATCTTTTTTGTGCTTTCTCTGGAATTCGGCGACGAAATGGTTGACCATTCTGTTGTCGAAATCTTCTCCACCCAAATGAGTGTCACCGGCTGTTGATTTCACTTCGAAGAGTCCGTTGTCGATGACCAAAACAGAGACATCGAAGGTACCACCTGGAATCAGATTTGATTAGATAAAGTTCAATTTTGTTACTTTGAGATATCCAAATCCAAGTTAGGATCAAGATATTAATTTTCTATAAAGCACTAACAAATAATGTTAATAAAAGCTAACACTAACACTAACACAAATAAAACATAATGAGTACTTGATTCTTTGTAACATTAATACACCAGAAAGGGAGTGTTTGCATTAAAAAAGAGTCTAAAAGGGTAAACACGTCCTTTCTGGTCGATTTGATTTTGCAAAGTAATGGTCAATCCATTGAATGACTCACCTCCTAAATCAAAAATAAGGACATTCTTCTCGGTTTGCCCCTTCTTGTCCAATCCATAGGCAATAGCAGCAGCCGTGGGTTCATTGACGATTCGGAGAACGTTCAACCCAGCAATAGCCCCAGCATCTTTTGTGGCCTGTCGTTGGGAGTCGTTGAAATAGGCGGGTACTGTGATCACGGCGTCTTTCACTGGTTCACCCAAAAAGGCTTCGGCTGTCTCCTGAAAATGGGTAAAGTTAGAGAGTCGCTTAAAATAAATCTCACTATTCGAAGTCTTAATTGAATAGCTAGAATCTGCCTCCATTTTAACTCAACAAACCTTCATTTTGATCAACACCATCGATGAGATCTCTTCAGGGGTGAATGTCTTGTTCTCTCCTTTGTATTCCACTTGCAATTTCGGTTTGTTTCCCTCAGCGTTGATCACCTTGAATGGCCAGTGTTTCATGTCGGATTGGACAGCTTGCTCGTCGTATTTACGGCCGATCAGTCGTTTGGCATCTGGAAGAAAATGGATTGACTTAAACTTCTAGCAAACGTTTTGGAGTAGTTTTAAAGGATAATGTACTGTTTCAAATCAGAATTACTCATCATTTAACGTTCAAATTTAGCACTATTATTTCAGTTTTATTCAATTTTAAAGTTTCCATTTAAAAACACTCACCAAAAATCGTGTTGTGTGGATTCATGGCCACTTGATTTTTAGCCGCATCGCCGATCAACCTCTCGGTGTCCGTGAACGCCACATAGGAGGGGGTGGTTCGATTGCCTGGAAAAGATTTAAATTAATTAAATGTTCCTTTACAAAAGCTATTCTATCAATTAAGTAAACCCTTCCTTCACCCACCTTGATCATTTGCAATAATCTCGACTTTTCCATGCCTGAACACGCCGACACACGAGTACGTCGTCCCCAAATCGATTCCAATAGCGTTAGCTTTTGGCATTTTGCTTGATTCCTGAAATAAAACAGTTAAAACTTGAAAAAAATTACAGAACACCAAAAAAACAAAACTACCGTAACCAAAAACGAACCTCTTGTGTATAATATTCGTAGGGTTCTAGAGGAATGATAGAAGAATAGAAAACTTTGATAGCTGAAAGTATTCAGAGGGTTTCGAAAATTGTGTAATTTTTCGAGGTGGTTCATAGTCGGGAAGGACGGGTATTTATAGGAAAACAACAACAATTCGAGAAGGGGGGAGAATGTTCGAGAAGGGGAAAGAATGTTCGAGAAAGGACTGGAAAAGGGAAGAATGGTTGGGAAAGAGGGGAGAAAGAGAGGGGGTGGGGTAGGGGCAGGGGAAAGAGATTAACAGGGGGAAAAATTGGGGAAAGGAGAAAGAGTGAGAAAAGTCGAGAGAAAAGAACAAGAATAGGAGAAAGGGAAAGGGTGAGTTGAGAAAGAAAGTGAAAAGAAATAGAAGAGATGGAGGGGTTGAGGTGAAGGGGTGAGAATGAGAAGAGGAAAGGGATGAAGAGGGGGGAGATAGGTGAAAGGCGAAAGAGCGAAGAGCTTGGAGATGGATGAGACAAAATATAATAAGAGGGAAAGAAAAGAACAGGGCAAAAAGGAAAAGAGTCAGTTGTGCAAGAAATGGAAAAGATTGAGAAACGAAGGAAAATAGAGATAGTCTGTGATGAAGAGAGATCATCACTTATACTTTTATACATAATAAATAAATTTTTCTAACATGTACGTGAGCATTATTGAAGGCATATTGAAGAGAGATAAAAATGAGAAGTTTTAGTAACGGCAGTAAAATTTTGATTAATTTTACGTCAAATACTGACTAAAACATTACTACCGTAAATACTTTAATAGTACCCCACCCCATAATGACGGTGCGGAGTGTTGCGTAGTCTAGTTTTAAACGAGTTTTTCTCAACACTGGTTTATGCTACAATGCGCGTCAAAAAAAATATCAAAAATAGCCCTGAATTTCAGGTGTCAAAAAATAGCCCTGAATTTCAGCTATTTTTCGATACCAAAGACGCATTTTTTGAAAGTACGGGCGCTTTGAAAAAAATGAAATACTAAAAGACTTTTGCGACTACGCGACTGTACGAGGAGAGTGGGGTACTATTACAGTATTTACGGTATCTAATTGCTTTACAGATTTTTTTCTTCAAAGTTTCAGTTTCTAGTTACCTGATGAGATTGTCTTCAACGTTGATCAACATACTGACAGGTGACATGCCTATCGGATCATCGGCTGGTTGAGGGATCATGTCGATGATACGCATTGCCTGGAAATTATTTGCTAATGGAGTTGAGTGAAACAAAAGTTTACTTCTAACAAGCACGACTCGATGATAGCTTGAATCAAAAGACCTCGATCGGAGCACTTCGATGATGAGGCGATGCTTTCTGATCTGAAAATAAAATACAATAACTTAGTGAAATAACTCCAGTGTAATTAAAAATTTTTACAAAGCTTACAAAGGGGTTTTAATAGAGGATTTTAAGCACGGTTTTGACTATTTTTTTTAGTTTTACCTCTGTTTCCTTGACGTGATATAAATGAGCACATAGGCGACAAGATTGTGCACCGGGATCGCGTATTGGCTCGCCAACATATTGTTTACCGAACCGGTAAGCTTAATCCTCTTTAGGCAATCGTAAACGGTGCTCTTTGGAGTGGCAAGTTGTTTGGCGATTGCTAGCGGTCCTACTCCGGACTTCGATAGACCCTCAATGGCTGGTCGAAGATTCCACACACGAGCCATCGAAATAGTTACCGTAAAAATTCTAATAGAAGACCATAGTCTTCTAATTTTCGACCTCCTAAAAGTCGATTTCAGCTCATTTCCATTTCCATGTCCATTCAAAGTATTCTGATGAGTTTCGATTCAATGAGGTGCAAAATTGGATCGCAGTAAAATTTCACTGGTGAGTCAGTGAGAGAACAAAGATGAAAATTGAAAAAGTCCATAACAAAATGCATCAGTTTATCCGAAATGAGCCAATCGACTACGCCTTATCTAGGAGGGAGAATCTCTTGCAAATCTTAAGCCTTGCCTATCATCAGTTCTGTGCTCCGGTCTTTCCCAATTTTCTGGCATATCCGTGGGTTAAAGGAGGATACATCGCATCAAAACCGGGAGATTTTTTGATGCCACACGAGATCCTTTCACTGATTTGATTGGAGAGTCTTCGGTCTTTGGTCGATTTATGTTCAAATACTCCTTCTATTCGTTGCGCTTACTGTATGGATCTTCTTTGCTTCCAATGTTTCCTTATTGATAGCAATAAATGTTGAAGGATTTATGTTTAATTCTTATAAAAGTATTTAGTCATTTTGTTATTTTTCGAATAAAAGATTTTTAATAAACCCAACCTTTTTGAGACCAAATCAATCTGAATCCTTTTTCTATACTTTTAGGCTAATGTAAACAAACACCTTATTGACCACAAAACAATTTTTACTAATTTTGCAAAAAAAGTACGCTAGTGAGCGGTATCAAACCAGGGAGCAAAAATGCATAACCACAGGCTTAGGCTAGGTTACGAGGTTAACCACTAGGTTACGAGGTTAACCACTAGGTTACGAGGCACTGTTTGAGGGGGAGCAAATGGGTATGCCAGAAATTCGAAAAAACGTTTCAAAAACCATGAACTTTGAGGTCATTTTTCTCAGAAATTTTGTCTGTCTGGTACACCGGCGACCTACTTTTTCGGATTCAAGAGATTTTTTCCAATAAAATGGGTGTTGTCGCTTTGCCAAAGGCAGTGGTCAACCTGTGTGCATCCCTAGTAAGTTATTTAAAATTCTTGATTTCATCTTCATCATCTCTTTTACGCGAAATTGCAGACGAGTTAGCCTGTTGGTCAATTGCAGACGAGTTGATCAGCATTCTATGTTAAAACAATTATGCACTTGAATTCTAAACAAAGCTAAACGTTTAAATTATGTATGACCGATCGGAAACCCTGAAGTGGAAACGGATTCAAACCAGTGCTGCCCAACTTATCAGCTCAAACCTTTTTTCTTGTTTTATTTCAAAAATCAAAGATTTCCTATCAGCGAGATATTCGACTTTTACTAGTAAAATGAGCTCAAATTGTACAAAATAATGATGAATATTTGAAATGGTTCATGTTTAAATTCTGGATAAAATTTACGTTTCAATATGCCGCAAAATCTCCTATCAGAGAGATATTAGGTTGATGCATAAGTCTTTTCGTTCCTTTTCGTCTGCCGTTTCAAGCCAACAAATGCACCAATTAAACTACGGTTGATTTCATTAGAAAAACCAATTATTTTTCTGCAAAATAACATTAAAACGGGTTTAAAAATATTTAATGCCTGGATTTTCTTGAGAGTATGAAGTCGGGTAGTCAAAAAGGGCTAACTCGATGATGCGGTTTAGACACCTTAGCTAAAGAAAACCTATCTTCGTGTCAATAGATAAAAGATAGAGAAAAAAAACGTTTGATATTTCGCCAAAATTTCAGAGAAATTCATTCAGCCAATTTTTCCGTAGAGTTTTTTATAGATTTTTACGAAAAAGGCGTTTTTCACTCTCGAATTTGCTTGAAAGTGAACCGAAATTCATTTAAAAAGATGCAAATTGAACAAAAAAAACACTTTTTTTATAGAGCAAACTATAGATTAATTGGTGAATTTGTTACTTTTTAACAGAAGTACGAAAAAAACGAAAAGACTTATGCATCAACCTAATATTAGACTTTTACTATTGGGTTGTCCAGTTATGAATGCGCGTTTTTTACTATTTTGTAAATTTCTCAAGATACCGAAATCAAAAAAAAGATATACATAAGTGTTATTCGAAAGCTGAAGATCTCCTCTACATTTTGATATAAAAAGTTTTTGAATTGGTTCAGCTTCTGGGCAAATTGACTACACAGAAGAAGAGGTGGCCAAAAAATGGAAGGGTGCCTTTGGATCAAGTTTTGGCTCCGCTCAAATTGAGTTAACCGTTTGATGTTTGGCCAATAGATATATCAATACAACTTTGTTTTAAATATAACAATTTCAGAGCATCTTTACTTTTCTTTTCTTTTCTGGGCGGTTATTTTACACCATAAAACTTGAGGAATAGCTAAGCTGAAATGGGTTTTTTCGAAAATGACCTCTCCCTTTTTGCAGTCAATTTCCCAAAAAGTTGAACGAATTCAAAAACTTTTTTATTCCAAATGGTAGAGGAGATCTTCAGCTTTCGAATGATATATAACACTCATATACATCTGTTCGATATCTTCAGAAATTTACCAAATAGTAAAAACGCGCTTTCATAACTGGACAACCCAATAGTAAAATGAGCTCAAATTGTACAAAACAATTTGCTAAACTGGATAAAATTTACGTTTCAATATGCCGCAAAATCATACTCTCCAACTCAAGAATATCTAGTTTACAGGCTTTCATAAAAGTGTTTAATATTTTTCTTAATTCTTCTCAAAAACAAATTAGCAAGATTGAGCAAAGATTTTTCTGAATTTTCCATATAATCTTGGACTTTTTGAAATTTAACCAAAACGATGGGCAAAGAATTTTCGCGAAATCACAAGATGGTTGCCACATTCCGACAGTAAATTGAAATTTCGTAACATTTTCGAAACGAGTTCGAAGCTGAGAAAAGAGAAAAATAGCTCGTAAACAGTTCAAGGTAACTTGAACTGTTTACGAGCTATTTTTCTCTTTTCTCAGCTATGATTCATGACAAATAGATCAACGGATTGCACGATTATTGATAGGAGAAAAAAAAGGAAAACATTTCAAGCAAGGCCATTCACAACACTAATACTTTGCTCAATCTTGCTAATTTGTTTTTTGAAAGAATGCCGTCAAATGAGGAATTGGACCAGGTTTGAAATTTCCTTTAAGTTCCTTTAAACACTCAGAAAGTTAAGCATAAAATTTGTTTCTCAAAAGTTTTTTAAAAAATAGCGATGACTAAGTTTAGATAGTTTTCTTTTATGAAAAGTATACAATTATAGGCATTTCAAAGTGTTATCGAAACATGTAGGTCGCAAATTCCCGAATCGACTGATTCTTCTACTTTTTTCAAAGAAATCCTCTCTACACTTGTGAAAGATTTGCAATTAAAGCTCTCTTCATATCTAAATCCATCACTCGAGATATCAAGAACGTTAGCAGAAGAGAATCCAAATCATCTTCGAATTTTACTTCACAATATTGGAAAAGGATTTCAGAAGAACATTTCAGCAACCGAGAAAATGATTGCTCAATTGAAAGTTGATGTTTGTTTTCTTGTGGAAACTGGCTTGACTTCAGAGTCAAAAATCGAAATAATAAGAACAATTGGTGGAGAAAAATATCATGTTTTCAATCATCCAGTGGGAAAACCGTTGTCAGGAGAAAAGGCGAAGGGTGGTTTGATGATATTGGTCAAAGAAGAGCTCGTTTTCAATGAATCCATCAATTTTTCGTATGGCTTAATGAGTGGTCAGCATTCTCAATCAAAATATCGTCCGGAAAAGTTGCAAAAACTGAGGAAAACCCTGTCCGATCCAAATCTCTCATTGAAAACTGAGAGAAAACTGTATCATCAAGATTGTTTCATCGATTTGTGTGGTGTGAGATTTATTCTTTTGTACCGAAGCTACGCGAATGCGCCGATTTTCAAACTTTCTCGGGATTTGAAGCGAATGAAGGAGAATGCTCCGAAAAACATTGTGATTATGGGTGATTTCAACTCGACTGATCGCTCGAGTACTCGAAAAATCAAAGAATATTTGGAGAGGTTGGAGTTGACAAAAGAATATTTCAGGTAAATGAGATATGTTTTAGTATTTCAAGACAATATCTGAAACTTACATGGAAAGGTGAACTGGCTGAGCCAGTCAAATGCTATTCGACCTATACCATTCGACGCAGAATTTTATGCTGATTCCAAATAAGTATTCGTTTTTTTGGAAACGAAAGTTGTACCACTCGGCCACGGCTGCACCGAACTGGTCCCGCTAGGAGCCCGCTAAGACCCAAATGAGCACATTTTGAGAGTCTCAACAAAACAGAAGCTTATAACTCCTGACAGCTTGTCATTTAGCAAAAACGGAACACAGATTCGGAATCAGCATAAAATTCTGCGTTGAATGGTATAGGTCGCATAGCGTTTGGCCGGCTCAGCTAGTTGACCTCCCCTTGTTAGTTACGTTTTTTGATTTCAGATTGGATTCGACAAATGTGATCGAAGTGATCGAGTCAACATTTCCCACTCATCAACAACGAGTCGATTTACCCACGAGCTATCGATCACAAAACACTATCGATCTGATTTTCGATGACCAAGACGATCCTGTTGTCGAAAAGATCTTTGTCTGCCCATTCCTGTCAAGTGATGTGAAAAAAGACCATTCAGCTATATTTTTCGTTGTCAATAAAAGAGCATAAGCTCACAAAGTTTTGGTGTTGCCATTTTTAAAAAGCTTTCCCCCAAAAATAAAACTTTTTGGGGGAGTTTCTTACTCCTTTTCTTTAACCTCTTTTCTTAAAAAAAGCCTCCATTTTCCTTCAAGAATCTCCCATTTTTTTTGATTTCGTTGTCGAAAATTTGAATAATTGGATAATAAAAAAAATGCTTTTACTTTTAAACATGTTTTTCGTACTTTTTATGCTAACTAGGGCTGCACACAGATTGATGCTTGGCCAAACGAGGCCTTTGGCCAAACGAGGCCTTTGGCCAAACGAGGCCTTTGGCCAAACGAGGCCTTTGGCCAAACGAGGCCTTTGGCCAAACGAGGCCTTTGGCCAAACGAGGCCTTTTTATTGAAAAAAAATAACTCAATGAAATTGAAAACCATGAATGCACTTCTCGCATAGATCCTAAACAAAAATTAGATGACAGAAACCAGTGTTTAATTACTTGTAGGGTAAATAATGATCGGTCCACCTCTTTGACGGCTTGCCTACATTGTGGCGTGTTGGCAGCAGCAAGAGCTTGTCTGGAAAGAATTTTATTGCTTCAGTCCTGTTATTTACCGTGTACTCAGATGAACATTTGCCACTCCTAATCTATCCCGCATTTCTTGAAATCTTTCTTTAATTTTCGAATCGGTCGACGAGCTACGATATTCGTTGATTCAAAGTAATTTCTCGACTAAAAAATGAAAATAAATGTTGCTGAGAAGTAGCCACAAACAGTGTTACCGTATTTTCTCTAATAGTAATGCACCGCGAACGTCGCCTAAATTGGTCGAAATCTCGAGAACCGCTTATCAGAACCTGTCGATGTGGGATTGGAAAATGTAGCTGACGATGAGATCTTATAGGGGATTAAAGTGTTGAGCTTCTGGGAAAAATTGGAAGCCGTAAAATAGGCATCAACTCGGCTCGCCCGGGTGCACTACTATTAGAGAAAATACGGTATACAATCAGCGAGACGAACAAACAATTTTGCCGCCTTGGCAAAAGTATTCGTTTTTTCGTAGAATCTAGAATGGCAATATGAAATGTTTCAAGTGAATGCCCATTTCAAAGCAAGGCAAGCTATTTGTGGCCACCACCGCACCACCACCAAGACAGTCATGTTGAATGAATTGTTCCACAAAAGTTGCTCTAAAGAGAGCTGCTCTAAAGAGAGTTGCTCTAAAGAGAGTTGCTCTAAAATCTTTGATTATCGATATTTAATAGCTAAACAATAAAAATCTAGTGTAAAAAAAGGGTTTAAATTTCATAAAAAAGAAAAGAGTATGAAGATGGGTTACGTTTTCGGCGAGTTACGCTCAAAAAGAAAAACCGTTGTAGTAATTATGCTCGATCTTTTAGTATCTACAGTAGCTGTAGATGTTTGGAGGCTATTTTAGATGTCACAAAGCCAAAACACATTTAAAAATCTCAAAG